AGTATTACTCCAAAGTACTCCTCGGGCTGCACATACCCCATTTATAAGGCTCTTATGGCATATTGGCTGTTCGGCTTCATCCCGTGTGTCGTGTGGACTTGCTTTAGTTTGGACTGATCCCAGCACAGCTGTTGCCAAGAGTTTAATGTTTCCCTTACGGTTGTCTGTGTGCGATGCCAACAGAATAAAGCTTTTGTGTTGAGTTAGTCAGGAGTGAACCTCGGGGCTGGGCGACATCGTACATCCTCCTATTGTCTTGCCGTCTCCCATTACTCCAGGGATGGGCACAATGCAGGACGTACCACATGTACAATATATTCCCTGAATTAGCACAAGTACCCAATTAGCACAACAGATACACACGCTCCATTGAATTCCCAGTGTATCCCCTGTTTAGAATGACTTCTGAAGTTCTCTCGTAACAAGTGCTGAAAAAACTTCTGAATTTTAACTTCCTCGGCTTTTCCAAGGAACCATATTTTATTTATAGTTGGCATTCTTTCGTACTTCACGGTCATACTTTGCCTCATCAAAGTGACTAGCTTTGTGTTTGTTTCAGGTAGAGTTTCAGTGTTCCGGTAACTCGGCATTGACTGATTACGATTTAGCTTCTTCAATTCCAGTTTCTTACAATTCTTTATTCTCATGATAATGACAGAGCTAGCATTGTCACGAAACCAAAACTTTAAGTCAGATGCCAACACCTGCACACAACTCAACAACTGAAAACATGGCACGGTAAAAACATAAAACAACAGGAAAAGTGATGAGTTATAGATCTTTAGACAAACAGGAGTGAATGTGTTTACCATATCCAGCGCTCGACATTATAAATGGCCCTCTGGCCCGGAAGCACTATTTAGACACCCCGGGCCAGCATAACGTACTTTCCACTTGCCCGCTCGGGCCACTAAAAAGTATTGCTTTAAAAAAAAAAAAAAGGTCCTGTGGTATTTTGACTAGCAATTTAGTTAAATTGTTTCGTTTATTAACGCGACAACATTTCGTGAGGCGGTTGTCGTTGTTGGGTGAAAAGCAAACCGCTGTTTGCTTCGGAGCTTGAAGCGGCGAAGCTGTAACTTCACTACAGACTTTAGCGCCACCTAACCATTCGCCAAAATGCTTTTAATACCAGCGGTAACCGGCCAAGCGCCGGGCAAAAAACAATCTTCAAATAAAAGAATGTCACCGGAGGAGTTAAAGGAGAGTGACGGGGATTATGAGAAGAAGAGGGAGAGAACGTTTCAGCCACACGGCTCGATCGATGGAGATACTCACATCTTTTCCCCAAATCACTTTAGCTTCTAGTCCCATTTCCTCCATTCCACACCAATGTTTTCTGATTCATCATTTTAAGACTCCATTTTTGGCTATTTTCTCACGTTTTATGCCAAATACTTACAGATTTCTTTATGCTTGATTTTAGTAAAAATATTTGTTAAGAATCAAAGAATTGCTATGTCTTTTATATATATTTCTTTTATTACGCAAGCAGGTTTAACTGTTCCCCACCCTTAGGCGAGCAATATGTCCCAATATCGTGTTTGACCTTGAGAGGATGGAAAGAAATGATATTACACAGAAGCTAACATAGACAGGGATTTTGGCTCTCTGTGTAGCTGACAGATGGCTCAGGTGAAAAGATGCTGAGTGATCGTTACCCCCCCCCCCCCCCTCCTCCACCCACTGCTCAGCCCTGAAGGCCTGGCACTCTTGGATAATTGATGACACCTGGCTATTTATAATTGTAACAGCGTCTCTGTGCTGAAAGGTGTTGTCCACACTTTCGTTTTATGTTTCCTCTCTGCATCTCACAACAGACCTGGCACGCAGCCACGTTAGTTTAGATGCAGTTAATTCCATCTCTAATATTATAGCGCCTTTACTCGAACCAAACCCATCTTCAAGGTTAGCCTTTCATCTTAACTTTTAACACATTTGATGACTGCATGGTTGCACGGGACCCACATTGTCTCGTATCTGTCCAAAAATATGTCATGAAATAATTGCCTTGACATTTGCTAAACACAATTGTGGTCCTCGGAGAGAAAAAACGAGATTACACATTTGTTTCTTTCCAAGCAGCGAGCCTGTGGAATGTTCTTCTTTACAGCCCTCACTTCTATTGTGGTGCACATTGAAGCCCCTCGGGCGAATTCACTTCAATATAACATTATGCCTTCAAAATGATGGTTATGACTCACTTCTGTTCAGCTGTTATGAAGTCATGCTGGGAAGCTTATTTTTCCCCCACACCCTTTAATGTACAATATTTGTGGCCAGTGGAGGAGGAAATGCTTTGAATGCCTCTGAGTCAGCGTAGAGCAGGGGTGTCAAACTCAAGGCCCGGGGGCCAAATCCGCCCCGTGACTTCATTTGATGTGGCCCACAAGAGCTTGCAAAGAATATAATATGTTTATTATACGGTTACATGCCGATTTACAGAAGCATGTTGCCCATAAACTACATGTCCCACAATGCATCTCAAACTTTTTTTGTTCAAAATATGACTTTTTCTCAGAATCTGACTTTTTTTTCAAAATGTCACTTTCTTTTTCAAAATGTTGTGACATTCTCCCTGAAGAGACTTATGAAGTTATTACCCTATCCGATAATAATCCAATGCAGAGGCAATAATGTAATATAATACATTATTTTATATATATTAAATATGTATATACAGTGGGGGGCAAAAAAGTATTTAGTCAGCCACCAATTGTGCAAGTTCTCCCGCTTAAAAAGACGAGAGGCCTGTAATTTTCATCCTAGGTACACTTCAACTATGAGAGACAGAATGGGGGGAAAGAATCCAGGAAATCACATTGTAGGATTTTTAATGAATTAATTGGTAAACTCCTCGGTAAAATAAGTATTTGGTCACCTACAAACAAACACGATTTCTGGCTCTCACAGACCTGTAACTTCTTCTTTAAGAGCCTCCTCTGTCCTCCACTCGTTAACTGTATTAATGGCACCGGTTTGAACTCGTTATCAGTATAAAAGACACCTGTCCACAACCTCAAACAGTCACACTCCAAACTCCACTATGGCCAAGACCAAAGAGCTGTCAAAGGACACCAGAAACAAAATGGTAGACCTGCACCAGGCTGGGAAGACTGAATCTGCAATAGGTAAGCAGCTTGGTGTGAAGAAATCAACTGTGGGAACAATTATTAGAAAATGGAAGACATACAAGACCACTGATAATCTCCCTCGATCTGGGGCTCCACGCAATATCTCACCCCGTGGGGTCAAAATGATCACAAGAACGGTGAGCAAAGATCCCAGAACCACACGGGGGGACCTAGTCAATGACCTGCAGAGAGCTGGGACCAAAGTAACAAAGGCTACCATCAGTAACACACTACGCCGCCAGGGACTCAGATCCTGCAGTGCCAGACGTGTCCCCCTGCTTAAGCCAGTACATGTCCAGGCCCGTCTGAAGTTTACTTGAGAGCATTTAGATGATCCAGAAGAGGAGTGGGAGAATGTCATATGGTCAGATGAAACCAAAATAGAACTTTTTGGTAAAAACTCAACTAGACGTGTTTGGAGGAGAAAGAATGCTGAGTTGCATCCAAAGAACACCTACTGTGAAACATGGGGGTGGAAACATCATGCTTTGGGGCTCTTTCAGCATGACAATGATCCCAAACACACCGCCCGGGCAACGAAGGAGTGGCTTCGTAAGAATCATTTCAAGGTCCTGGAGTGGCCTAGCCAGTCTCCAGATCTCAACCACATAGAAAATCTTTGGAGGGAGTTGAAAGTCCGTGTTCACTGCTCTAGAGGAGATCTGCATGGAGGAATGGGCCAGAATACCAGCAACAGTGTGTGAAAACATTGTGAAGACTTACAGAAAACGTTTGACCTCTGTCATTGCCAACAAAGGGTATATAACAAAGTATTGAGATGAACTTTTGTTATTGACCAAATACTTATTTTCCACCATCATTTGCAAATAAATTCTTTAAAAATCAGACAATGTGATTTTCTGGATTTTTTTTTTTTTTTTCCTTCTCATTCTGTCTCTCATAGTTGAGGTATACCTAGGATGAGAATTACAGGCCTCATCTTTTTAAGTGGGAGAACTTGCACAATTGGTGGCTGACTAAATACTTTTTTGCCCCGCTGTATGTATTTTTATAAAGTCTTATAAAACTGGCCCTTTGAGTGCAACCATGATGCTGATGTGGCCCGAGATGAAATTGAGTTTGACACCCCTGCTGTAGAGGATCAGTTGCAGACGTCCTGTGTTCATCACTATAAGGGCTATTAACGGAGCAAGAACAGTATGTCGTATACCCGAAGATTCCTGGCAGGGAGGCCACCAACGTCACGGTATTGTCTGTGCACTGGAGGGAGACTTCCTGTTGTAGTAACATAAGGACAGACATGCGAACTAACCCAGCGGGTTTTATCATGTTGACATTACATGATTGTTTTGTCCTCTCAATGTCATATCAGGTAGTGATATTATGGTTTTAATTAAAAGTAGTTGAGCTATTACAAGGAAATACAGTAACATCAGTTCCAATACCTTGTCCAATGTGACTTTGAGGGAAACGGTCTTCATTATGTTACAAGGTCGGATTAAAACCTTGAAAATACTGAAATGTGTGGCGTTAATGTTTGACTCGGCATGTAGTGAGCATAATAATAAACTAAACCAGCTGTAATCTGAAGTGCAGTCATAATGAATGAAGTATTGATCCAGACAACATTTGTTTCTACAATTTATACTTTAAAAATGATGTGTTTTTTGTTTTCTTCATGATTGTGAAATGATCGGTCTGTTTAGGACGACTTGATTGACATTTGTCTCAGCGAATCAGACTACACTATGGAAATTGTTGACTTATCCTACCACAGATACTGTACACCCAAAATCCACAAATGTCCCCACATTTAAATGTACTGTTTAAAATGGTCTGTTCAGCGAGCTAATCAACAATGTTTCTTCGCATACAAACACAATCTTTATTTGATGTGCTTTTCAGGAGCCGTTTGAGGATGGCTTTGCTAACGGAGATGAGCTCAGCCCGGCCGAAGAGGCTGCGGCTAAAGAAGCAGCCGAGTCCAAAGGAGTGGTTAAGTTCGGCTGGGTCAAGGGAGTGCTGGTGAGTGTCCTTCAGAACCCAATGGCTTCTTCTGTATTCATTACTTCATCTCCTCCCTTTTTGTGTGTTTTCAAAAGAAGTCACCCAGAAGCTCGGTCACGTACGATGTAAAGTGAGGGAGCATGTGTCACAATAATTCTACTTTTACGATTACTATTGTTAGGAGCCAAAAGCACTAGTTATACTTTGGTTGGCCAACCTTTTAAGTTAGCATTGCAAGATCTCCTTTGATAAAAAGCAATGGGCTCTTTCCATTAGATTTTGGAATATTGTAGAAAAATATATATTAGCAAAAACACATTTATGATAATTACACGTTTTGTACCGCAGGATCATTTCCACATATTAACACCAGTTTATGATTTTTAAAGCGTAAATGCAATCGCTAGAGACAACAAGCTAAAGTTAGGCTATAAAGGAACTACAGCAAGGTTGCATGACTTTATACCACCAGCGCTAATCAACATTTTTAGTGTGACAACGTTTAGTGGTTTCATTTAGCCACTTGTTACCAGCCACTTCATAAAAGCTTCTCACATTGACATGTGCTGTATACACTGGGATAATTTATGATGTAGACCAAAACATGAAAATGTCTTCACCTTGTGTTAAACACAGATCTTATTTCAGGCAAACCAAAAACAGATTTAAAGAAAATGATGACCTTGAATCGATGAAACCGGAAGTGCTACATTGCTAACTCACAACCAGGTTTAATGACTAATTTCGGTATTGATATAGATGTCCTGTATTCATTTGCTTATACACTTGCTAAAGTACTACAAGGTTACAAATAGCTTCATAAAAAAACACAACAAAAGGATTCCTCATATACTAAATAACCAAGCCAGTGTGAAGTAGCATAACATAATATTACCACTAAGAAAATGAACGTAAATGTTACTTTACATCTGCCCAGTGAAGGAGAAATAGTTTCCCTGTAGGTCTATTCTACCAACGCGTCCACAAATGTCTCCCAAATTCTTCCAAAAATCGGTCGTGTGTTGACTCGGTGAAGTGGATCACAGGTGAGAAGTGTGCCTCTGTATATAATTGGAGCTGTTGAGAGTAGATGACAGGGTGTTCAGGATTGTGGAGCCAGAGTGTGAGTTTCTCCCGGCTCAGTCGGTGTTTGGCTGAACCTCTGAGGATGGAACCTCTTCAAACAGATGGATGTGCTTCATGTCTTTATTGAAATATATAAAAGTATACACAAAGTACAGAGGATGACACAGTCTGGATACTATCATCCTGCTTTTATTTTGACATGAAACGTCCTTACTTCCTCTCTTATACAAACCTTGCACTCGTCCATATACTTCTTGGTTTTCTAATGGCTTTTGTTTGTAGTGTCGAATATGTTCTGAAAATAATCGTCTTTAAAATGTGACGTGAGTGGCCCCTGCCCCCACAGGAAAGTCTTACAGTTTAAATAACAAAGCAACCAGACAAAGATGATAATCTACTTATTGCAATCACTTTAAACATGAAAAACAATTCAACAGTAACAATAATTGAGCAGAACAGGCATCAATAACCAATGGCATGAACACAGTCCCTTAGTTTAGTAAAGATTCAAATTACAACTTGACAAGATACAAGTCTGAACTGCACGAGATAAAAGGCAATGTATTTCAATTTTTATTATTTAATATGACAATACCTTTATTAGTCCCACGGAGGGGACATTTGCGTAGTTACAGCGCCGCAGACGGCTTAATGCATTACGTTAAATGTGTGACATGCATTAAAAAAAAAAGTACTAAGTTATGATATAATAAAAAGTTACATCATTTAAAAAAAATACACATCCTCGAACAGTTCTTAGGATTTAGCAGCCAGGTATATATTACACAGTTATTAACGGCATCTATATATATTGCACATCTAGCACATATTGCACATAGGTGGTTGGTATTTAACAGCAGCAAGTTACACAATTTACAAAATACACACCGTGTAACAGTTCTAAGGATTTAGCAGCCAGGTATATATTAGTTATTAACGGCATTTATATATTGCACATATTACACATAGTTTGTTGGTATTTAGCAGCAAGGGGTGATCTAGTCTGTGTTGTGGGGGGGGGGGGTCAACTAGGGGCTGTGCTGGTTGTATAGTCGGACCGCTGCAGGAAGGAAAGACCAGCGGTATCTCTCCGTGAGACAGCGGGGGTGCAGCAGCCAATAAAAAAGTATTAACATTTGTATTTTATTGCCACTTTCTCAACTTAAATCTGATATGAGTTCGACTTTTTCATGTTTTCATTTCTCACATTGTGTTGTTTTTAAAGTACATTTAATCTTGATTCAAATATGCTTTCAGTCCACTAGCATTATCACGGTGGTTTTGTGAAGTGGATGGTGCTTTTCTGAATATTTATGCTGCTTTTTGAGTTGAAAATAGCAGCATTCAGAAAAGCCACATGCTGCTTTCATTTGTTTTTCAACACCACCTCAAATCTTTCGACAGACACTACAGTATGCTTCAATCATGCTCTGTCTAAAAGTTAACCAAATCATATTCATGTTCGAAACCTGTATTAAAAAAAATCCCTGTTGCAGTTCCAATAGAGAGGCGGAGTCCCGCCCATCTACTTCCGGTCCATGGACCTTATTTCAGAAAAAGTATGCATTGAAGTCAATGGAGAGAGAAAGATTATCTTTCCTTCCCGTTTGAATTGTGCCACGAATTACACATATGATGTTTGTCAATTTAAAAGATCATTTCCATGTAAAAAAAGTCACAGTTTGTCGTAAAACTGTTGAAATATAAGACTATGAAAAATACGCAACTAGAAAGACTACAAATCCCAGAGTCCCGGTCCCGCATGCTGGCTCTCACGAACCGACTAACTCCCCTTGTGTGTGTGCACAGCTCTCAACGTGCCCAGACTTGGAGTGATTTCCACCTCTTTTAATACTTTCCGCCTCATTCTGAAAGAAAGAAGTGAAATGTTTCAACGTGACGGCCGTCTGGGTGTGTGGAGCGAGACGGGAGATGTAGTTCATTGAGCGGTTTCACACAAAAAAAGTGTTACTTCACAGTTTTACGACACATTTAGATTTTTTTTGACTTGCAAAATGATCTTTTAAATTGACAAACATCATATGTGTAATTCGTGGCTCAATTCAAACGGGATCGAAAGATAATCTTTCTCTCTCCGTCGACTTCAATGCATACTTTTTCAGAAATAAGGTCCCATGGAGGAAGGGGAGAGACTTCGCCTCTCTATCACCAGAAAATGTGAAGCGTTGTTTGGTTGAACTAAAGCTGCCCCCCCCCCCCCCTTCTATGACCCCCAGTAACCGTCCCTCCTCTCTGCAGGTGCGCTGCATGTTGAACATTTGGGGTGTGATGCTCTTCATCCGCATGTCATGGATCGTGGGTCAGGCTGGAATCGGTAAGCTCCCCTCTGAAGAGCTGACAGTTTAAATGAAATGTTGTCACCTGTTTGGATTCATGTACAGACATTGTGTTTTGGACATATCGCGTGTGCAAAGGCTTCCTGTGGTTGAACGTGAGAAAAAAGCAGATGGTGTAACTCCTTGTTCCTCTTCAGAAGCGTTGAATACATTTGCTTTTCCGCACAGCTAGGAAGAACAAATACATACAGTTGTGTAATAGTCATAATGGTGCAAATAAGAAGAAGGAATAGGACATATATACATTTAAAATAGTAATGTAAGATGAAATACTATACAAATGAATACATACTGTATACAGGTCGACAGGTAACATATCAAGGCTACTAACCACCATGCGCCACATGTTTCATTAGATCATGTTTTATAACTGTTTAACTTTCATTAATACTTTTTTTCCATCAATACATAAAGTTATTATGTAGATAACAGTACACTATGAGTTAGTCATATTTGAGAGGTTATTAGCTTCAGTCAACATAGAATCATCTTTTACTGTGGGTACATGTTATCGTCAAATCATAATGATAATTTGGGGACATTGTTTTTGCCATGTTAGCAGTTATCATGCAACAGATACACTGGCAAAACCTCCCAGTCATAAACGAAAATACTGTTTAAATCATTTTGAAACTAAGCCGGTCGCAGCCTGAGGTAGGAGCAACACTGTAATGTGCCCATGACGAGCAGTAAAGGACAAGAACAGAATGTAAGAATCAGGTTTATTACCAGGTAGGTTAACACATGTGAGGAATTTGACTTGGTGTTGTGGTGCACACATAAACATACATACAAATAAAACCAAAATGAAAAACACAGATAGAAAATGAAATACTGTGTGAGAGACCTCAGGCTACAGAGAAGCATCAAAATGACAGGCTGCACATAACTGAGTAATAAAGCGTCAGTGTGCAGAATCAGCCCTCTGTGTGGCACACAGCCTTCACCACAGCAACACTGTGTCACTTCTCTCCTCACTTCACACAGTCCCCCCCTCCCCCAAGCACTTGTTGATAAATCTCCGCTTTGATGTGAAATATCTCCACGGGGCGACACATGTGGCGGGCTTCAGTGCAGCTCGCCTCTGAGGCTGTGCTACTTTTCACAGTGTGCCGGACGGCCCGCTAGAAAACTGTCAACAGTGTAGCACATTCCTTCCATTCCCTCTGTTGTCTTTGCTCTCTTCAGGTCTCTCCTGTTTGATCGTGGGCATGGCTACCGTGGTGACAACCATCACCGGACTCTCGACCTCCGCCATCGCCACCAACGGATTCGTAAGAGGAGGTAAACACTGCGTTGATTAGTAGAAGCAGAACACAGACCTGTTCCTGCTGTGTCGCATTATGGCCCGTGTGGACATGGAGCCTTTTTCTAAACACCAGCGTCTTTTTCAAATTGATTCCAATGAGAACGGAGCGCTAGCCTTCAGTGGCGTCCACCTCCAGAAAAAAACAGTATTTTTTCAGAGCACTCTCACCCACTTCCAGCGCTCAGGTGAAAACGTTTCAGAAAAAGCGCCAGGGTGACGTCACTGCATGAAAAGCTTGTGTTTGGCCTAGGGATGCATACCGGTATTACCGAAATACCGGTTACTGGTGGCTACGTTATATCGTACCGAAATCAAATCCGATTTCGATACTTAAAAAAAAAAAAAAAAAAGATTCAATTTATTTTTATTTATTTTTTATTTCATTTTAAAAGGGAGTCCATGGCCCGTAATGGCGGGTGTTATAAATTGTTATAAATTAGATTGCATTATGGTTTTTCTTCATATTTTATGTATTTTTCATTGTTTGTTCTAGAAAGGTAAAAGTCCCACAAATGAACTGATGGGATTTGTTTTCTCTCACCAGTGAAGGCAAATGTTGATTTTAAAGATGAGATTTGTTTGTTTGTGCAATGCCGAGATCTCATGACCTTTATTCTATTATGTATTTGTTCTCTAGTCGAATCTCAGGTTTAACATTAATTATAACGGCACACCTGATGGCGGGTGTTATAAAAGATATTCCATAATCGGTTTTCTTCATATTTGTTATGTATTTTTCATTGTTTGTTCAGAACTAAAAGGACCAAGAAGTCCCACAATTGAATTTAATATTCATTTGACATGTTAACTATATCGTAAAGCGCTTCATGGGAGTAATTGTGGGATGATACATTTTCAAAGTATCACGATATGTATCGGTTGAGTATCGGTATCGTTCAGTGGTATCGTAAAAAAGTCAACGATATGCATCCCTAGTTACTTTTGCCGTGTCTCTCAGATGGAAACTATCATAACAAAGACAGAAAAGCCTGTTTGTTGGAGCAGTTCGGCCGGGAGGACACCGGATGTTGCTCATAGTGAGAATCATAGTGTTTCCATGATATCATTGTCAATTAAAGAGTGCTGGGAGGGTGTTTTTGCTGCTAGCAGGTGTTCCCCAGCGACCTGCCAGTGCCTTTCTGCCAGAAAAAGTGTCTATGTGCACCCTTATGTGAGTCAGATGAAAGAGGAGAAAATCAATCAGTGATCAACCTCACTTGATGTTGAAGTGGTGGAGGCAGCAGGGGCAGCTCTCACTGAATCAGGTGACATTTACTCTCCTCTGAGACAGAAAGGAGGTCTAATATTTAACCCCCTACCCTGCTAGGACTCTGTCAGAGCGTCTCTGCCTCGTAGACCTCTGTCTCTAATGAGATGATTGACTGGTTAATGACTTTTTATCATATTTTGTTTAATGGCCGTTTAGACTCCATTAAACTCTGAGGAAGTGTCAAAGGTGATCCGCTAAGCACACAGTTAATTGTTGACTCTTTGTTCACTGATTGGCTCTATCTGAAGCTTTCATCCTTATCACATGCTCTTATCTTAAGTCCTAAATCATTCCAGCCACTGAGCTCAAATATCAACAGATTTATATCCATGACAACTGGGGTCCATTTCCAACGTGTAATGTGGTTGAAAGCACAGGAAGCAGCATGTGTTTGACCCTGTGTTGGAATTGTTTGATGTCAATTATGTTTGTTTGGTTTGTGGCAGCACTGGAGCAAACACTACAGATCACAGGGGCTCCATTAGTTTGTTTACAAGCCAGGGGGTCCGCGGGGTCTTAAAAAGTATTAAAAGTTGATAAATCAATTTAGCGAAAATGAAGGCTATTAAAAAGTATTAAACGGCATTTCCCAAGGTATTACATTTTGTAGCTTGTTTTCTATAAGTATATGAATGGTCCAAAGAGGTTGTATTCTACAGTCTGCCTGAATGTAATCATTGCGTAGGTGTGTAGTGTGATTCTGTGTAGTTTATTGATGGCATCCCGTTGGGTTTGACGTCATCTGAGCAGGACATCGCACGCTCACTGCTTGATGGCGCGACGGTCCGTTTACGCCGGTTGCTAAGCAACATCGTTATGGGGAAATGCAAGTCTGCGTCCAAACGGTTGGAAGATAAGGAGGAAGGACAACCAATACTGTATATAGTATATGTGAGGTAAAGTGTGTCGCCAAGGTAACCGGTTAGAACTCCAAGTGGCGATGAGGTCTTAAAATGTATGGAAAGGGTCTTAAAGAAGGTCTTAAAAGGTTTTACATTTGACTTCAGGATTCCTGCATATACCCTTTAAGCATGTATCAGTTTATCCTCCCTGTTACTATGCAGAGTAATCTACCAGGAATTTCAGGTTGCCTGTATTTGATTGGCCAATTTGGCGCCGTGCTGAAAGTTACTTTCAACTGAATACACTTTCAGCGAGATAAGAGATGAGAAACAAATATCAAAGCAGAGATTATTGGAAGTCGTTACAGTAAAGTTGCTTTAGCAGTGGTAACATTTTGTAAAGTGGTGAGTCAGCCTTTTACTGTTGAAAGTGCCAAATTAGGGCCCTTACCCTTTTACTGGCAGAAAGGCGCTGGCAGGGCTCTGCGGAGCGCCTCTTCCTACCATTTATACTATATATATTTTACTTTATTATATATATATTTTATGTTCTATTCTGTATAATTTCCACATTATGTGCAATGCCTTGTTTACATGCTGCCGTGACGAAAGCAACTCCCAAATTAGGATTATTCAAGTAAATCTAATCTAAAAATCTAATTTTGTCGAGAGAAAGCGCTGCATTTCTTTTGGTTGAGTTGAAAGGACGATCCACTTACGGAGATTAAAAAAAGTACAACGCTCAGCGGGAGCAACATTCAGGGTCGGCCGGTCAATCAGCTATAACAAATGAGCTTTATGGTCTTATGGTAGCTTCCATCTGACACGGGCAAAAACAAGCTTCCTCAACTTATCTGAAAATATGTTCAACTTTAGTGCTCAAAGCCTTCTCTGTTGTCATTGGGATCAATTGAGGTTGTTAATGCCTCGCCAAGACAGACTATGCTAGTGTCACTGCTAAATCATCCTGCTGTATGTATAAACAAAAAGGTATACATTCAATAAAATAATAAGAAATCTGTTTAATTCAACATCTTCACGTTCACTTCCACTAACTTCTGTCCATTTTCCTTTTTGCAGGTGGAGCGTATTACTTGATATCGAGGAGTCTGGGTCCGGAGTTTGGAGGATCCATCGGTCTGATCTTTGCCTTTGCCAACGCAGTGGCTGTAGCCATGTACGTGGTGGGCTTCGCTGAAACCGTTGTGGAGCTTCTTGCCGTAAGTCTCTATGTGCCTTTTGATGCTCTTAGTTCAGGGGTGTCAAACTCAAGGCCTGGGGGCCAAATCCGGTCCGCAACTTCATTTTCTGTGGCCCCACAATAGCTCTGAAAGACTATAATATGTTTATTATACGGTTACATGGCGATTTTACAGACGCACGTTGCCCATAAACTACATGTCCCACAATGCATCTAAAATTGGACTTTTTTTCTCAATTTCCCCTTTTCTCAAAACATTTTTTTGTCATTTAATTTTTTTTCAAAATGTCACATTTTGAATGTCACTTTTTTGTCTTCAAAATTTTATTTTATTTAACTTTTTTTTTCAGAATTTGGCTTTTCTTTTTAAATCATTTTGTGATATTCTCACTGAAGAGACTTGCAATTACTTGCCTTAGACTTCTGCTTTCAGACGTAGTTAATTATGAAGTTATTACCCTATCAGATAATAATCCACTGCAGAGGCTATCATGTAATATAATGCATTATTTTATATATATAAAATATTTATATATGTATTTTGATATAATCGTCTTAAAGTTACAACCGGCCCTTTGAGTGCAACCATAATTCCTACGTGGCCCATGATGAAATTTGAGTTTGACACCCCTGTCTTACTTCCACTTTGACTCTCTGAGTTGAGTAAACCTGACCTTTCCCATCACCTGCACACAGACAGCTTGCTGCAGAGAGAATTGGTGGCAATGCGACACCCTATGAGCCAAGTTAACTGATACATCACTGTTTATTGGCCCTCCATCTATCCAGCCATCCATTATTATCCTTTAGGGCTGTGGGGGGGCTGGAGCTGATCCATTTACCTTTACAGCAGCTCTGCAAAGCACACACAGAGGGAATCATATACCACAAAGACAAACTTTATTTGATGAATTCAGTCTCAAGCCTACATTATTATTACATAAAAGTCGCACAAATAGGGACTGTTCTGTCAGTATGTTTTGTGTTATGCTGTTGTGCCACATGTATTGTTGACATTTATGTTTAGTGTTGATTTTTGTTTTAATCTGTTATAACGCCTTGTGTGGAATGATTTGGCAATACTATGTTTAAAATGTGGTCATGCCAATAAAGCCGTATTGTATTGTATTGTATTGACTGTGTGTGAGCTCACCATCATTAGACTACTGTCTAATCGTCTGTAAAAATCAAGAACTTTAGCCATTGGGATTTATTGTTATATTCTTTAACAACTCCATGTTTTGTCTTGCAGGGTGCAGATGCCATCATGACAGATGAAATCAACGATGTCCGCATCATCGGCACCATCACGGTGATCCTTCTGCTGGGCATCTCTGTGGCAGGCATGGAATGGGAGGCCAAGGTAGGAACAAAACCCTATTCCTGGTTAAATGAAGTCTATCTTAAACATTGCTCAAGTGTGGTCCTGGTAACCTGAACTAGGTTAGAAAATGGCAAGAACCTGGCACCTATAAAAAGCCGTCACTATAGTGGCCTATTTACATTTTGATCCCTTTAAAGAATCAAAATAAAGCACCGTTTAGATTAAAGGCAGAGCAGAGGCATTAGATTCCTGGAAATCCAAATGTTCCCTAGAGCCATCAGACTCAGGACACGCACCATGATTGATTTCAAGATTCAAGATTATTGTCATGTGTGCATAGCTACAGTGTAGTTATGACAATGAACATCTTAGGTCACAGGCTCCTCCAACAGTGCAACACAATAAAACCGATACAATAGTGCAAGTAAATAAAATAGAATATAATAGAAATAGTGCAGAATAGTCAAGTAATTGGAATATATATAAGTTGCAAACAGATGGATTTTCTTTCAAAAGTTCAGGTGTTTGACATGTTAGTGTAAGAGATCAGCTGTGACTAATAATTTGGTTTATTTTCTTCTCCGTAGGCCCAGATATTCTTGCTCATTGTCCTCATCGCAGCCATCATCAACTACTTCATCGGAACCTTCATCCCCATCAAGTCCAAGGAAGCTTTGGGCTACTTTGGCTACGACAGTATGTCCACACACTTAAATGAAACTAGCTGAAATCAACAGAATGAACATATCTACCTCCTGTGTTGGCACTGAAGAAGGCTCTGTCCCTGGCCGTACAGTACTCTAATCTCTATCGTATTATCAGGTGCAATCATGTGGGAGAACATGGGTCCGGATTTCCGAGGCGAGACGTTCTTCTCCATGTTTTCCATCTTCTTCCCTGCAGCCACTGGTATTCTGGCCGGGGCCAACATTTCAGGAGACCTCGCTGTAAGTCTACTGAGATGATGCTCATGGGATGGATTTAGATTTATTAGATTGACGCTGTCGAACCGAGCAAACGTAAAGGCCTTTTTATAGATAAGAAATCCCATGTTTGTGTAGATCGATAGCTTTTGTTGTGTTTTTTCTTGCAGGACCCACAGCTGGCCATCCCCAGAGGAACCCTTCTGGCCATCGTGATCACAGGAATAGTGTACCTGGGAGTTGCTGTTTCAACAGGTGCAGTGCTATTTGTGATTTAGTCTGTAACTTGGAAAATCTGTAATTCTTTTACATACATCACGAGGCGTTTTCACACCGGAGTACTTTTCCCGTTTAGTTCCGATAGTTCCTGGAGTTTTGCGTTCACACCAAAAAGAGAACTTAGTTCATGAGAACTTTTCCCCCCTTTTTAGTCCCTGCTTGAGAGGTGGTACTTTCCTGGGGAGACAAAAGTTCCAATTTCTATTGGCTGGGCGAATTGCAAACAACGCCCCGTAAAACTCGGAGAAGTTTTTTGAAGCCGCCATTGTATTGGCTGGCATTAGCATTATTAGCATTAGCATTAGCCCTGCGCACCAACGGAGAGAGACTAACTTATGGCAACACAAAAAAAACATGGGAGCGGTGGAGATGAGGAGGTGTCGCCGTTCTGGCGATTTACTCGGAAGGCTTGGGACTGGCTTCAGTAGAAGCTGCTGGGAGTCCCAGCAGCTTCTACTGAAGCCAGTCCCCAACTCCGGGGACTCCGGGCGGCAGTATACGCCGTGAAGTTGTTTGCGGCCTGCCAGTAAACCCAAAGCAGAAGAAGTGACGTCAGCGGCTTCATTTGCGTAATCTTCCCTCAGGGACTTATTCCGGTGTGAACGCAATCTGCTCTTTAGTTCCATGGGGGTACTAAGTGCTGGGAACTAAGTGCTGGGAACTAAGTACGACAAAGTACTTGGTGTGAAAGCGGCTATAGTATGAAAGCGGCTATGGTGTCTAACAGAGTGTCTGTGCATTTCTCACCAGGCTCCTGTATTGTGAGAGACGCCAGTGGGAATGTTAATGACACACTCAGTTCTCAGTTCATGGCCAACTGCACAGACGCTGCCTGCAAATTCGGCTTTGATTTCTCTTCGTGTAAGAACGATGCTGCCGGCTGCAAATTTGGACTCCAAAATGACTTTCAGGTATGAAGGGGCTCAGTCAGGAGACGAGGTCTGGAGAGGTCATAAGATTGCTGTTTGTTGGGTGTAAAAAGTCTAATTCACATTTCGTGTTTGTTTCAGGTGATGAGCATGGTTTCTGGTTTCGGGCCCATCATCTCTGCTGGAATCTTCTCGGCCACTCTGTCCTCCGCTCTGGCCTCGTTAGTCAGCGCTCCCAAAGTTTTCCAGGTAAGATCTGACACAACGTGCATTAAGGCACCTAACGAATTACACTAACAACCCTCAAGATTCAAAGATTCATTATTGTCACACAGTAGCTACAGAGTAGTTATGGCAATGAAACTTAACTTAAGTCCCAGGCTCATCCTAACACACAACATAAATACATGTAAATAGAATAAGATAAACAAGAACAGAATGTAAAATGAAATGCTGTACAGTGAAACAATATACCGTTAAGAGCAATTTACCTATATATTTGGCTAACAGTACATTTTGTAGTTTTTGAACATGAACACCTAAAACTCTGTGTTATTTTTCCACAGGCTTTGTGTAAGGACAACATTTACCCCGGCCTGGGCATGTTCGCCAAAGGCTACGGCAAGAACAACGAGCCCCTGAAAGGATACATCCTGACCTTCATCATCGCTCTGGCCTTCATTCTCATCGGTACGGCTGCACACACTACTCACTAGTCATTATCTCTCTGAGTTACCAATAAACCCCACTTAGTATGACCCAAAAATCTAGGGGTGGTAGTGTTCAATCAAGAGAACGTTACTTGAGAGGACATCTGGCAGTGACCATAAGGACACATTTAAGATAGTGGTTAATTGGGGCATTTACAATGAATTGAATAAGGCTGTAAGGCCCCCTGAGACAAATGGTTAATTTGTGATATTAGCATTGGATTGATAGAGGACATTTCAATTACCTTTTTAATAAGTGAATAATTAATAGTTACTTTGGTTTGAATAGACCAATTAGTTCAAGCTTGTCCCTTAATTTCCTATAATTAGTGCCAAATTACACAGTTATTCCCTGAGAACTTTTTTGAACATTATTATGAATTATTACAAAATAATGGTCCCCTATAAAAAGGCATTATGCTTACAGTATATGCAGATACAGAACATGGTCTGATGGGGCGAGAATCATTCCATCACAAGTATCTCAACCCAATGTTATAGATATAATATTTTGCACTGGTCCCAAGTATTTGATGGTGTAAACCAGAGTTTCCGTTAGCCGGTAATTACCGGACTATGACCGGTAAAATATGCTGAAGACCGGCAAATCTAAATCTCTCCGGTCAAAATAATTTCCCCTTAGCGCAATACCGCATCAGTTGCGCCACTTATGTGACAGACAAGAACAGTCAATACGCTACATGCACAGTCACTTCCTTTCTACTGTCTGACATTTAATGTGGAGAAAGAGATTTACCCTCCTGAAGGGGACATTTTGACCCCTCATGTAAACAAATGCTTAATGCTGCGCTATACTTTTGCCGCCACATCCCGTTACCAAGCAACCCTTATAGGTGTCCTTTGATACGCAGGCAGTCGTATCATTAGCTAGATCCGATCGATATGGACATAAACGCGAGTAAAGTATAATCTGACGAGAGAGAGAGAGAGAGAGATCAGCTCAGCTGCGGAGCTGAGCAAAACACACACTTCAAGTTAGACCTAACACACTTAGCTATTTTATCTACCGCTGGAACAACCTAAACTAGTTATACATATATTTATTCTTCACTGTCGGGTCACCCATTACTGGATCAGTGAGCTGCATGAGACGATACTGACAGGCTGTCAGGAGGGAGAGAGAGGGAGAGGGAGAGAGAGAGAGAGAGGCTCCATTTTTTTGTATCCAAAGTTACTGTACACTTTTGAATAATGTAGTTCATCTACTATAATTAGTTTGTTTAATATAGAGTCGTTATCAATTTGTTTTAAAGCTCAATAAATAACAAAGTAGACCTTTGACCAGCACTTTTCTCATTTTGTCCGGAAGATTGAAACTTTAACGGACATGTTGACAAAATTCTAACGGAAACTCTTGTGTAAACTGTAAAGAATTGTCCGATTTATTATATTTATTAACGACTCAAATAAATAAAAAATAATAGCCTTTTGTTTTCCTCTTGCAAACGACTGAGGAAAAGAGGACAGGAAATGTGATAGTGATTAATTTTAATTGTACCGTTTCATGTGTTCTTCTTGCAGCGAAGTTGAACATTATTGCCCCCATCATCTCAAACTTTTTCTTGGCTTCCTACGCCTTGATCAACTTCTCCGTGTTCCACGCTTCACTGGCTAACTCCCCAGGTAAGATCAAAAGCAGAGAAATGTGCTGAGTTGTAGAGTTAGGATCATTAGAGATTGTTAAAAATCAGTCATATGGTTTTTAACAATGATTGGAAATGATGGGATTCAAAAGGAATCACATGTCCAAGTGCTCTCACAGCTTAGAGTCTTTAACGGATCAGAAGCCAGATAGTAGCACTCACATGAACAACTCCGTTTTCCCACAGGAACATTTCAAATGTCTATTCTGTAAACTTTTAGGGTGTTTTCAAATGTTTCCAAAATCAAAGCTTTAGATTTTTTTGTTATTCAAATTGTTAGGATTTCACTTTGACAGAACAGCAAGCCTTGTCCAACATCAAAGTAAACGTTTTACTTAAACCAATTACTTTACTGTCATTGTAGCGATGACGCAGTGTTATTTAATATCGTTGAAAATGACATGAAATCCCAGTGCAGTAATCGGCTGTTGGTGGTCAGTTGTTTTTGATTCCCATATGCTCCAATCACTACATGACTATACAGATCGTTAAAATACACTACTACTATTGTTCCCAACAGATGACTCATTTTATTTGATGCGCTGAGTCATAGTTACGAGTCATGGTTTAGTGTTGTATTGGAGCAATAGGCATTTAAATTTTTATTGAGCTGTTGTTTTGTCTGGCATCAGAACAGTTACAGTTACAGGGGTGTCGAACTCGAATACACAGTGGGCCAAAATAAAAAAATCGGTACACGTCGAGGGCCGGACTGGTTCAATGTTTATTGAATGAACTTATTGCACATATTAAACCTGGAACTTACAAAGCTTAAATTATTGCCTATAAAAACAACATTAAATAATCAGTTGCATTCATTTCTTATGGCTCTATCTGCAGAGTCATTTCTTATGATTACATTTTTCCACAGGCCAACAACAGCTTCAACAAAACATTTCCCTCAAAGAAAAACCAAACATCAAATCAAGTTGTATTTATATAGCACATTTTTAAAACGATTTTTGGTCGAGCCAGTATATACAATAAAAATACTTTACAATAAAAACACTTACAAATACAACAGCACAAATAAAAAATCACACACAGGGAAATGTCAGGAGTCGTGCTCTGCCCTGACATGCCCTGTTGTCACAAGAAACAAAGTGCAGAAGGAAGCATCCATTAAACTCAGGTTGCTGCTCTGTGATGCTAGCTCAGATACTTGGCATCTCATCTCGGGTGCAAGGTCATCAATGTTTGGGCTCAGGCTCTGAGCGGAGGAGACCCTCAGGATGGAGTGAAGGTGTGCGTGCAATATACCGGCGGGCCAGATCTAATAGTAATTAGAAATTGTCCTGCGGGCCGAAATTAAATCCACCAAGGGCCCGATTTGGCCATCTGTACTTTTTGTGGGTATTTTAATTAAAAATCCAGATTGGTATTGCCCTCCAATGGCTTCTATCCAGGATAGTTTTGCTTATATTTGTCCATGTTTTGAGATATGTGTGTCTCCAATCCACTGGAGTTTAACCTGTGATAGAGTTGTACACAAATAAAACCATAAACACTTGAACAGACACTGTTTCCAGAAAGAGTGTTACTGTCTTTTGAATAGCGAAGAAGACCAATGAACAAAATAAGATTAGCCGGCTTCTGGAAACCACTTAAGGATTAACTTTAATTTCCATAGCTCATGTGATGAAAGGTTATAATGAACCTTTGTCTTGTTAATGAGCTCTGGGAAAGGAAGGATCAGAGAGGATCAGGTGTGAGTGATAACAAGTCTGTAATGGCTCTATCATGGTTAATGTCCTTATCTCTCTCGCTGTCTCCTTTCAGCTGTCGTATCAATGTTATAGATATAAATGTAATAGATCTGAGTCGGGACATGTGATATATGTAACAAGTAGCTGGTGCAAAGAAAGGTGTAAGTACCTTATCATAGTTTATAAAATTGAATAAAACCACCAACCAAAGCTGTTTCCATCTTTTCAAATGTCTGATCTTAACTCCATCTGATACAATAGTTTTGCACCAAGTACTTTGCCGTACTTAGCTCCCAGCACTTAGTTCCCCCCTTGGAACAAAGAGCCGATCGCGTTCACACCGGAATAAGTCCCTGAGAGAATATTAGGCAAATGAAGCCGCTGACGTCACTTCTTCTGCTTTGGGTTTACTGGCAGGCCGCAAACCACTTCACGGCGTATACTGCCGCCCGAAGTCCCCGGCCAGAAGTCCCCGGAGTTGGGGACTGGCTTCAGTAGAAGCTGCTGGGAGTCCCAGCAGCTTCTACTGAAGCCTTCAGAGAAAATCACCAGAACGCCGACACCTCCTCATCTCCACCACTCCCATGTTTTATTTGTGTTGCCATAAGTTAGTCTCTCTCCATTGGTGCGCGGGGCTAATGCTAATGCCAGTAAATACAATGGCAGCTTTAAAAAACTTTTACGGGGCGTGGTTTGCAATTCGCCCAGCCAATCAGAAATTGGAACTTTTGTCTCCCCAGGAAACCACCTCTCTAGCAGGGACTGAAAAGGGGGGAAAAGTTCTCATGAACTAAGTTCTCTCTTTGGTGTGAACGCAAAATCCCAGGCACTATCGGAACTAAACGGGAAAAGTACTCCGGTGTGAAAGCGCCTATTGTGTAGAAAGATTTGGTCTGATAAGGGATTCAGTAATACTGTAGATTACATTTGTCCTGGAAAGAAGTGGAAACTTAAATCTAAGACACAGATGGTGAAACGCAGACGATCGCATGGTGGGCATGTGAGGAAATATTTCCATTTCTTTGGACTGACACTGAGAATATCTTACTGAAATGCATCTCCAGTAGTGGATCTTTTGTATATTGAGTTGTTTGCTTTTTCCCCCCACAATACCAAAGCTCTAGCAGAACTCCAGGTACAGATTCTCTATCGGCTTCTATTTCCTCCAGCCAGGTCATAAAATCACACGGACTTAAATGGTACACGACTAAATTAGAGGCGAGCAGTAATACACACATTATCTTGTGGATTGTACTGCCTCTGCAAACACTTCTACCCATTCGGTGTTCTCTCCCCGCTCATGGGGCTGAGACGATGTACCCTTTATGTCCTGTGCTTTGATTTAGCCTCTTGTCATTGTGTAACTGCACACAGTATCCCATCACTAAAATCCTCCTAGTCTAGTTTCTGTGGAACCCAGTAAACACATACGGCGTCTAATAGCTGGTATAACCTTCAGGCTGCTAACTCTCGTTTGTTAACCTCAGCACATATCCAACCATAACGTTATCCATGCATTTAACAGCAACATGAACTATTCTAAGACCATGTTAATAACTATGACAATGTCTCCTCTCCACAATATGTCCTAATTTCAAACGACAGGTCCGACTTAATTGGGTTAAGGAGTCCTTGACTTTACTCAACCTTAACATGAAGTGCATCTCCTCACTTTTACCATTATTATTATAATTATTTTTAATATTTCCAACATGAAACGGTTTGTGACGAGCTCTCTTAAGGGGTTTTTGTTGGCGATGTCGTGACATGTTTTCCTCGGTGCTGCAGGATGGCGTCCCAGCTTCAAATACTACAACATGTGGGTGTCTCTGGCCGGAGCGGTCCTGTGCTGCGTGGTGATGTTCGTCATCAACTGGTGGGCGGCTCTGCTCACCAACGTCATCGTGCTGGGGCTGTTCATCTACGTCAGCTACAAGAAGCCAGGTGAACTATATTTCCTGTTTCTAACATATAATCCATGGAGTTTTCTGATGGAGTAACTAGAAAACTATTTTGTGCTTTTGGCCACAGCTGACTATACATGTACTGGACTTCTTTCTGCAGATTGATATGACTAAACATGGTCTTTGATCAGAGCATTCTTAGCAACAGTCTGTTATACCTAGCAACAGTCTGCTATTAAGAAATAACAGACCGCAGAATTTCCAAACTGAACAATCAGACATGAGTATTAAACTAAACCATCAAACCTTTTTACTCCACCAATCATTTCAACATCGCTGAAGCTATGTTCACATGATACAACAAGTAGATATCTAACAAATTATGGTTCTTGACCAAAATGATCAAATGTATTAATTGAATTTCTTATTTATTAAGAAAGGAATTTAATTCCTTGTTAGATGTAACATGTACAGTAACATGAACTCGTAAAGAAAAACATATTTTAGTCTGTGGTCAGTGAGCACAGCACAGGATTAATCCAGGGTGTCCGCGGGGTCTTAAAAAGTATTAAAAGTTGATAAATCAATTTAGTGAAAATGAAGGCTATTAAAAAGTATTAAACTGCATTTTCCAAGGTTTTACATTTTGTATCTTGTTTTCAATAAGTATATAAATGGTCCAAAGAGGTTGTATTCTACAGTCTGCCTGAATGTAATCATTGCGTAGGTGTGTAGTGTGATTCTGTGTAGTTTATTTATGGCATCCCGTTGGGTTTGACGTCATCTGAACAGGACATCGCATGCTCACTGCTTGATAGCGCGCGACGGTCCGTTTACGCCGGTTGCTAAGCAACATCGTTATGGGGAAATGCAAGTCTGCGTCCAAATGGTTGGAAGATAAGGAGGAAGGACAATCAATACTGTATATAGTCAATGTGAGGTGAAGTGTGTCGCCAAGGTAACCGGTTAAAACTCCAAGTGGAGATGAGGTCTTAAAATGTATGGAAAGGGTCTTAAAGAAGGTCTTACTTTGACTTCAGGATTCCTGCATATACCCTGTAATACGAAACTAGCATATTTTGTTTCAGAACAAAACAATTTTTTCAATACAAATATTCAATATTTTTATAATGAGCTAAATATCTGACAAATCTAAATACGTTGTTTAATGCAAACAATACTCCATCAGAGAAAACTATGCCTTATCCTGGAAGAAGTTTGACAAACTAATATTTTATTTTCAAGAACAAAAGCTTAGAAAATATTCGATGATGTAGATTAACTACAACCGAGCTCATGGGGTGTTATACTGACACATTTGAAAGATGCTCTAAATATGTGTTACAGCAAACACACATCATAATGACTTGTATTCCTTTCTTTCTGCATGTGTTATTGCACATATAGAATTGCTAACAAATAATGACTGGGCCTTATTTGTGCCGTGGCATTTTTAAAAACATTGCCTGCTGCTATCATAAAGTGAAACTAGTAAACAAAGTGTGACTGAATACATCCCGCTGCTACACAACACACATCTGTGCACCTCTGCAAACACAAAGCAGCTCTGAACACACACCTGTGTGCACACTCAGTTTGACACGCAGCTACACACACATGCGAGGCCTTCCCTTGCCTGTGACACCACATGGGTCAGTGCTCTCTGTAAACACGCTGTGTGTTTCTGCCCGCATGCGTCCTCCTCTCCAGATGTGAACTGGGGCTCCTCCACCCAGGCGCTGACCTACCACCAGGCCCTCACACACACTCTGCACCTCAGCGGAGTGGAGGACCACGTCAAGAACTTCAGGTACAAAACACAGCCAAGCACCCCCACTAGACACACACACACACACACACACACACACACACACACACACACACACACACACACACACACACACACACACACACACACACACATCTGCAGTTACCAGCATTACAGTTGGACTAGGCTAATTGTAGTTTCTATTTAAACAAGGACCATGCATACAAATACAGTTTTATGCCAGAGTTTAGCTAATAGCTCATTTCCATCTGCAGTCCTGTATCTTCTTACGTATTTCACCATATGCATCAAATCATAATCAGGCAGACATCTGTTAGCATGCTGAAGTATAAGCGATAGCCTCACGTTTCAGTGCTGGTATATCACATTTGTTTACTTTACATTTCATTTAGCCGAAGCTTTTATTCAAAGTCACTTCAAGCGCATTTAACCCACGAAGAAATGATAAAGCAAGAATCCTTCAAAATGAATCGCTTTGAATAAATAATCAAAACCATTATATTATTTATGATTAATATCCTCCCAGGCTGTTGTTTCTGATGCTTATAATATAAATAAAACAATCATTTAGTAGCTTTGGAAGATGTCTGTCCTGTGCTGATTCATGATGTTGAACACACCTAAAGCAGGTAGTATTATTATTACGTATCAGAGATTATGTTGCCAGGGCAGCAGAGCGAGCAGAGATTAAAGTCTCTGGTTGTCTTCAGGAGGACTCTGAGCTCCTTCTTGTCTCCTCTCACCGCCTCCATTAAATCTCACGGTGCTTAACATATTCTCTTTGATGTGCGCTACTCTGCTCCGTATTTGTCCTGTGCTAAAGTCCAGAGGTCACCGTGAAGGTCAGGGCGAAGAGGGGCTGCACTTTTAGAAGCTAGTCATGCTGTTAATGTCAGAATTCAATAGTGATGTATACAGTAGAAATGCTGATGTGTGTGTGTGCGTGTGTGTGTGCAGACCCCAGTGTTTGGTGATGACGGGATACCCCAACTCTCGCCCTGCTCTCCTGGATCTGGTCTACAGCTTCACCAAGAACGTGGGCCTGATGATCTGCGGTCACATCCGCACGGTGAGGAGAAACCCTCTGGTTGGCCTTTAGTCGATGTTAACAGTGAACAGAAAGGAACTTGATTGTAGCAACAAAACTCCCAATGAACAGTCGCTTAGGGGCTAAGGTCGCCTCATCGCTTTGAGGCGTTTCAAGTAAAAGAGTCCTGTAGTGACGTCATAGTTTAACGATGTTTCGTCACTCAAATAAACAAACAACAACTTCAAACTGTCCACACATGTTAGAGCCAGCTCAGGCCACCTGTTGTTTGCTGGGAATTTTGTTTTGACAAGAGGGTGTCAAAACAAAATTCCCTGCAAACAACAGGTGGCCTGAATACCAATAAACCACACCCATGTGACCATTGCCGTGAATTGTAATTAAATACTAATGTGTGCAATCTAAAATAATAACAATAATGGAAATAATTAACTCGGGCTAAATAAGCATTTTGGCTCCTTCCCTCATCGTTAGGGATGTTGTTTTGAAGTGGAAGTAAATAAATAATCATCTGTCTTTTTTATCCCGTCATAAAGCTATGTTCAAAAATCTGATCATGCTCCTGCTCTGTCCAAAATAACATCTGTCAAAAGTACTTCAGGGGGCGGAGCATTTCCAAGTGCAGTTCAACTTAAACAGCTTCAACCTAACGAGCATACTTTCTGAATAGTAAAAATGAAAAGCTTGATTTTGCACATTAAACTGTAAGCATTCACAGCACATGGTAAAATGACTCCATGTGTTCTCCATCACACTATTGCACTGTCTGAGCCGAAGTTATGATTATGATGGTGTGTATTGTAGCTTAATTCAGCCCTTGTGTTAATTATGGAGTAATAATTCCTTAACCATTCATTCTTTATTGTAAAACCTCTACTTTATAAATGAAGTGTTCATGTTAACCCTTTTCCCATTTATTAAACTGATAGCTCACATGGCACACTTCACATAGTATGTGTTTGAATGAATGGATTATGTTTGCCTGTGATATGGTAGAAGGTTAGTTTCTATCTGAATATGCCATGGTAAATACAGTCTGTGCAGATAACTGCTTTATTTCTGTTTCATTCTAGTCAGGTCTCATTAGGTCCTGTTAACTTCACCTTGAATATTCCCACAATGCTGCACTGTAGGCTTAACACCATGATGTGGCCCCTGGATCGGATTACAGCTGCAAATCTATCACTTAGTGGATGTGTAAAGTCCTCACTTTACTCTTATGGCGCATTTCCACTGCAGGGCCTCGCTCGGCTTAGTACGGTACAGTTAGTCCTTGGTAGGCCAGGCTCACTTTATGCTGCGTTTCCATTACAGTTTAGGAACTGGGGCAGTAACTATAGTAACGCAGTGTAGGCGGAGCCGTGATGTCATCTTCAATGAGAACCACAAAACCAACATCAGCTGTTAGCTGTTAGCCCTCAGAGCTCACAGCTCCTCATATCTGTTCAGAAACTAGACAAAAGTTAAACAAGTACAAACCACAGACTGTCTGTGTCATGGAGAATACAGTCGCTGGTTTATTTATGTCTGTATAGGCCGTTGTTGTGAGTGTGGACGGTCGGAGCATATACAACGTTAGCTTAGCCCACATTTTAAAAGGTTTTTCGCCTGCCGTCTGTCTGCAGACTTGTCAAAGCATTAATTCATGGTTTTTACTAACCGGTATCAGTATGTTGTTACTTCGGCATCATTTTGAAATGTGTATTACAATTAAATCACGGTACAATATGTTCATTTTGTTGTAGTTGCCAGCTATTCTCTCACTAGTTTAGCATACTCAGCCCGGTTGTTGGCCCGGAAAGAACCTCGATTTTGGAGAGCCAGAAAAACTGTGAAAAAGTACCCGCTAGCCGGAACTACGCCGAGTGGAAACGCAACCAAAAACGGGCCGGGTTTGGCACGGCACGCTTAAACCGTGCTGCTGTGGAAATGCGCCATTAGTGAAGTCTAGTTAGTGTCAGACTAACAATTCAACAAATGAAATTACTCTGAGTTAGTTAAACTATTTACTAAGAAAGTTTGTCATTTCTTTGACTTGTAATGAGTTTACACTTATGTTTGGGCCCTTTGATGGTCAGGTAGATTATACCTAACTATCCATTTCTATGACCTACCATCTCCAATCAAGTCATATTCAACATGCTCAGCTTTTAGCTTATTTTTCAATCATTCAACAGTATTACACTTGTTTATTCACAACTGTCGTCTGAGTAGTACAGGATTAAATAAAAACCATACAGCTGATAATCCTTTTCAATACAAACATGTCTTTAAATATGTGAATACAAGTAAAAAAAGTGCCAATATTGGCTTTTTGAGCCGTAACAAGGCCAATTTCAAAGTAAGGATGATCTCCTGCAACAGTTACTTATCAGGCTTCCTGTTCTTGCTCTGAGGAAGTTCATTGTTTATTTAATTTAAGATCATTTTCCCTTTAATGCTCCATCACAGTTGTGGGATGTATTACCTGTGTTTTGACGGAGGTATGAACACATCACTGGTCCTCAGCGGAAACCGTTGATGCGTTTGTTCCACTCCTGAATACACGGTTTGAAAAGCCTTTTGCAAATCCCCTGCCAGCCATAACTGCTCCACAATGGAAGGCCATTTTGAATTGTATGGCTCTGTGCAGTGAAGCAGCTCTGTGTTTCTGATCTGTTAAACGGTGTAAACATCCTCAGCTAATGGCATTACAGATTCCTCTGAAGAGCAGCTTTACAAGTGCTTTTCTTCAGAAATAAACAACGATTTTGAAGAGGAGATTCCGAGTAAAATAAGCTTTCTGTGATGACTAACCCGTTTAAATATAGACGTACAGAATTCCACGCAGGGCTGTGAGATGAGTTACATTTTCTGTGTGTGTCCACAGGGCTACAGGAGGCCAAACTTCAAAGACCTGGCTAACGATCAGGCGCGGTACCAGCGCTGGCTCCTGAAGAACGAGACCAAGGCCTTCTACACACCGGTGTTTGCAGAGGACATGAGGCAGGGCGCTCAATATCTGCTGCAGGTAGGAGGACAGAGTTTCAACCCATCACTGACAGGCAAACACTGTTCAAGACTCCAACAACAACAACTCTGTTTGTGGCTGTTGATGAGCACATGTTTATTATGGCACATTCTTTAAAAATACACAACGATATTACTTTATTGTCAAGATAAAGTGTGAAATGTTTCTTGAATCACAGCGCTCCGTTTGCAACTTCAAACAAGGACAAATATTAAGACACAATACAAGTGAAAGAGACATTTAAACTAGGGCTGTCAAGTTAACGCATTAATACAAAAAAAGTTCAACGCCACTAATTATTTTAACGTGCGTGTGTATTTGTCCTCGGCCCGCCTCGTAGTCTCAGAGCCCGCCTCGTAGTCTCAGAGCCCGCCTCGTAGTCTCAGAGCCCGCCTCGTAGTCTCAGAGCCCGCCTCGTAGTCTCAGAGCCCGCCTCGTAGTCTCAGAGCCCGCCTCGTAGTCTCAGAGCCCGCCTCGTAGTCTCAGAGCCCAAAGGCTTGACGTTGTTGTTGATGTTAGTTGGTTGGTGGGAGATTTTAGCGAGAGATATGGATACAAAAAAGGTGTGTTAAACAGCAAGCCAAGCACCCAGCTGATGCTGACAGCCCCGCTCCTGCCGCTCGCTTGGGAGACGCCTGGACCCGGCGTCTACGAGCAGCAAGCTTTCAACAGCGATAGCTAAATGGGTGGCCACAGCTAAACATTGTGGAGGACGAGGGGCTCCGTGAGATAATTCAGATCGCATCCAACACAGCGCATTATTTTGACCCTAGGTGGGAACTCCAGTGTCATGCTTTGACTGTTATGAAGACAGAGGAGCGGCATTTCGCCGACAACTGTAAACAGGCTTGTCTGTTTGAGCAACTGGCTCAGAGCAGAGAAGTACACAGGGTTGGGAGAGAGTGAAGAGAGAGAGAGAGAGTGTAAGAGAGAGAGGGAGGTTCCAGGTTGTTGTATTGAAAATGTTCAGGAGAATATTTGTCATCGTTCAGAGGTTAATAAACAAACATTTGCATTAAGCATATTTGGCCACTCATATGTTGATAAGAGTATTAAAATCTTGAAAAATATTCCTTTAAGGTAAATTTAGAACAGATAAAAAATGTGCGATTAACTATGGACATCATGCGGTTAATCGCGATTAAATATTTTAATCGACTGACAGCCCTAATTTAAACATAACATTACAATCACTGAAAAACAACTATGTTCAAGACCCTCTAACGTACATGTTGACCTTGGATTTAAATCTGTATTTAATTCAGGATTGAGTGGTGCTTCAGTCTTAATTAAATCACAGGACCCTGTACCTCCTTCATCTTCACTGTGCAGGGCGTGGTTTGGGTCACTTTGTTGCATTTCCTGATTCAGGATACTTATATTCACCGTGTCAGAGGCTATAAATGTTATTGAATTCAGCCTTTTATGTCCTTAAACTGTCTTACATGATCTAAATGATTTTTAAATCAAAATTATGTTATTTCTATAACCCGGCTACAGATACATGCTCTTATAATGAGAGTAACACATGCGTCACTTCCGGGCAAAAAGTACGGCTCCGCCCACTTTTGGGGGAAAACAACGCTGTCATTTGAACAGCGGTCAATTCAAATTCTGAAGTTTTGACCAATCTGATCAGAAATGTAAGAAAACCGTGGATTTGTGGATCTTCAAAGAGCCCGATCACGATGGCCAGACAGGCAATCAAGCCATTTGAAATCGACGAGCGGGCTCGATATATGGTTAAATATAGCAGTTGGCGATCGATGTCCACAGATGAGAGTAACATCTACGTCACTTTACGGCCCCACCCACTTTTGTGGGAAACAACGCTGTCATTTGAACGGCGATCGAACCTGAAGCCACAGAGCTCTTCTGTTACTGTCCTTTCTTCTTAGAGGAAGTCCAGAAACACTGAACTCTGGATTTGTTTTAATGTTTGAGATGCAATAAACGACACAGCAGCTTGTTGGCATGATAAAACTATTATCTTCTGCCTCGCTCATGAGAGTAACAGCTGGAGAAATTACAGCCTCGCCTACTGATTTGAATTCAACCATATATCGAGCCCGATCGTCGATTTCCAATGATTTAATGTAATTGTTTGCCTGTCTGGCCATCGTAACCAGGCTCTTTGAAGATCAGAAAATCCACGGTTTTCTTTCACTTCTGATCGGATTGGCAAAAACTTCAGAATGTGTATTGACCGCCATTCAAATGACAGCGTTGTTTTCCCCCAAAAGTGAGCGGGGCCGTAATTTTCGCCCGGAAGTGACGTAGGTGTTACTCTCATCTGTTAGATATAAACTGTTTAAATAGTTTCCAAAAGGAATGAAGAATTGGGAAAACACAAATGACAGAAATCACCCCCTGTTGGGATTATTTTATATTTTGTTGTTGCCTACAACTCATGGAAAGACTCAAATCAAAATGTGTTTCTCTTAATCTTTCCCTACTCTAATCTCCATGCCCATTGGTTACTAATGAGCATCACATGAGTATAGTTTCATTCTAAAAACAGTCATTTTTTGTCTAACGCTGCTCAAACTGGAGATAATTTGGGACTATTTTAAACTGCTGATTCATCTACATTTGCTATAGTGAGTATTTGTGGCAGCGGGATGGTGTATGTGGGAGTCTAAATATATGTGTTCATGCTAGCTGAGGACACATCACTCCTAGGAATGTATCCAGCCTTGTTGAATCCGAGTGCAGGAATGATTGAGTTTGATTTCTCGTCCCTCTCCAGGCTGCTGGTCTGGGCCGCCTGAAGCCCAACATGCTGGTGATGGGCTTCAAGAACGACTGGAGGGACGGAGACATGATGAACGTGGAGACCTACATCAGCATGATCCAGTAGGTGGAGCCTAGAGAAACTCCCTGGAGGAAACACAGGGGTTTAGCCTTTGCAACAACAAAAAATTGAAAATGTATTTTTGTATCTGGATTAGATTATTATTTCCCTCCCTGTAAATGACTTTGTTTAGTTCTTACCCTTTTAGATTAGGTTTTTTTGTACAATTTGAGATGTATTTAACATATTTATTTAGTAAATTCCACACAGGATTTAAGTTATTTGATCAAAAACTACTGGGAGAACTATTGTTTTTGTCATAAGCTATGTGCTTTCTGCCCTGAATGTGCATTCAAGTTACCAATTAATGTCTAAACATAAATGATTGTCTTCAATGCCATCTTCAGGCCATTTACATGCACACAAACCTATAGAACACACTACAGGAGAGGGAAAACCCCAAGGAGCATAATACGGCCCCTTTAAATGTCAAGTTCTGAAGTAATTGAGTATAATGATGAGGTGTGTTATCAACAAATGCAGGTCTTTGGCCCAGTGAGAGAAGGTCTAGGGCCCTTTGAGATACTGTAATGTCCATTAGTGAGGCTCAGGGTTAGGACACGCAATCGTCACTTTGACCTAGAAGTTAGTACTGCTGGTGCTCTGTGAACAGAACAGGGTCCCCCCCTTGTGAAGCCTGTTTCCCAGCAGCAGTTATGTGAGTGAAGGAGTTACTGATTGTAACATTAAGGGATTACTGCATTAGAGCTGAAGGCCAGGGATGCTTCATTAAAATCACGCTAATCTCTCAGCAATGTGCCCTCTCCCTCCGCTGAGACGCAGAGTCCACACCACCCTCTCTCCCTTCATGTGTGAACCTGCTGTCCCATCTGTCCTCCTGTTGAACTGTCCATCATTCGGTCTCTCTTTGTTTTAACCACTGCTGATTTTAAATGTTTTGATTTCTCTGTTCTCCTCCCCAGTGATGCCTTTGACTTCCAGTTTGGTGCTGTCATTCTGCGCCTGAAGGAGGGGCTCGATGTGTCTCATATCCAAGGACAAGGTATAAAACACACACACACACACACACACACAACATGGTCAGGGAAGCGTTCAGATATATATGATGTGTAATATTTGACGTTTAACACAATATGCCATACGTTTTCAATGTCACAAGTCAAATAATCAATTTGAAAGCCAACAACCATATTGTTCTCTAATCTAATTGTTGTTGTTTTGAACTCACCCTCACTTTGTCTTATTCCCACCATCCTCTCGATCTGTTCACTTCCTCCCAGATGAGCTGCTGTCCTCCCAGGAGAAGTCGGGGATGAAGGATGTGATCGTGTCCATCGACACCAGCAAAGACTCTGACGCTGACTCATCCAAACCCTCCTCCAAAGCCACCAGCCTGCAGAACAGCCCCGCCCCGCAGAAAGGTAGCTTTAACCTTCACACTTATCTACCATGCAGGGAAATACTCTTACTTGTAACAGAGTATTCCTACACTCTGGTACTTCTACTTTTACTCGAGTACAAGATCTGAGTACTTCTGCTTTTACTCGAGTACAAGATCTGAGTACTTCTACTTTTACTCGAGTACAAGATCTGAGTACTTCTGCTTTTACTCGAGTACAAGATCTGAGTACTTCTGCTTTTACTCGAGTACAAGATCTGAGTACTTCTACTTTTACTCGAGTACAAGATCTGAGTACTTCTACTTTTACTCAAGAACAAGATCTGAGTACTTCTACTTTTACTCGAGTACAAGATAAGAGTACTTCTTCCACCTCTCCTGTCAACATGTATTATTTAAAGCATCTCTATTATTGTTTAGGGCCTGTCACATGCTTTACAAGCAGCTGATCAAATTTGGAAAGTTAAAAAGAGTGAAATTATGAATATTGATGCTGATTGGAGAAATATAAATACTGTAGAGAGGACGGCTTTCCCCCAGGAAATCAGTTTAACACAATTCTCTGAGATCCCCCTTAATCTATCAATGGCTGCCTTTGTTGTCCCTCTACACACACACACACACACACACACACACACACACACACACACACACACACACACACACACACACACACACACACACACACACACACACACACACACAGGAAGTGTCCTCAGCGACCCATGACTCCAGTGGTCCCACAGGATGTATTAGTGCCACCCACACAACTTTGAGCAAACAAACAAAGTGTTCCCAGAACCCCCCACCGTCCAGTCTGGAGTCATGACGTTTCTTAAGAGTATTTCATAATAATATGGTATTGTTGTTACATTTGATCAAGCTTTATGGACACGGATCAGGCTTATTGTATTGTCTTGTTGTGGGATGAGCTCCGTGGACGCAGGACAAAATGATGTCATTACATTTATGGTTGAAGTACAGGTACAATATTCAATCTGTTCAACAAATTCCCCTGACTAAATGTCACCCAAATCTACTTATCACATTTCAACTTGAGTTCTATTCCCCAGAATATCTCTGAGACAGTTTTCTGTTTAGCTCCTGCTTCAATGATCATTTCCATAAACTCAAATGTCTTCCCATGTTTGTCTGTTGTCGCTCAGTAATGAGTTGTACTACAGGAATATGAATGTGTCTGTAGTTGTAATCACTAATGTGTAACCAAACTGAGGGGCCACACACACACTGTTGGTCTGGTGTAGTCAAGGTGAATGCTTTGATTTGGGTAATCCTCTTAGTCCCAGCCTGAGCCGTCATTAACACACTGTGTGCACATTTCATTCCACTCTGAATCACACTCACGCTCTGTGAGAATTTCATCTGAAACCAGGCGTAGAGCCAGGATATTGGAACAGTAGATTTAGTACCCTTGCATGTCTGGGGGTGCAGGAATCAGTCCTTAAAATCTGAAATGAGTCAGCATTCTACCACTTCAAGTCACCTCGTCTCAGCTTTTGGTTGAAATAAGGTCTGTGGTTAACACAAGTTGAAGAGATATCTACGTTGTGTTCTACAACATAAAATACGTCAATAAATTCCCCACTTCTGAATATCAGAAGCTTCTACATGTCTGAATGAGACAACTTAACGTCATCACGCCTAACATTAGCCACCTTTAGCTTAGCGGTGGTGACGTGAAGCCATGTGACCGTGCTGTAGTTCCTTTTATAGCCCAACATTAGCCGCCTTTAGCTTAGCGGTGGTGATGTGAAGCCATGTGACCGTGCTGTAGTTCCTTTATAGCCCAACATTAGCCGCCTTTAGCTTAGCGGTGGTGATGTGAAGCCAAGTGACCGTGTTGTAGTTCCTTTATAGCCCAACATTAGCCGCCTTTAGCTTAGCGGTGGTGACGTGAAGTCATGTGACTGTGCTGTAGTTCCTTTATAGCATAACATTAGCCACCTTTAGCTTAGCGGTGGTGACGTGAAGTCATGTGACTGTGCTGTAGTTCCTTTATAGCATAACATTAGCCACCTTTAGCTTAGCGGTGGTGATGTGAAGCCATGTGACCGTGCTGTAGTTGCTTTATAGCCCAACATTAGCCACCTTTAGCTTAGCGGTGGTGATGTGAAGCCATGTGACCGTGCTGTAGTTCCTTTATAGCCCAACATTAGCCACCTTTAGCTTAGCGGTGGTGATGTGAAGCCATGTGACCATGCTGTAGTTCCTTTATAGCCCAACATTAGCCGCCTTTAGCTTAGCGGTGGTGACGTGAAGTCATGTGACCGTGCTGTAGTTCCCTTATAGCCCAACATTAGCCGCCTGTAGCTTAGCGGTGGTGATGTGAAGCCATGTGACCGTGCTGTAGTTCCATTATAGCCCAACATTAGCCGTCTGTAGCTTAGCGTAGTTGATGTGAAGTCATGTGACCATCATGCAGTTCCGTATTATCTTGTTACGATTTATTTTACATTCAAATATCATAAAGTGGTGTTAATATGTGGAGATTAACCTGCCAAACTAAATATCATGAATATGTGTTTGTCACAGATATTATTCTCTGCAATACTCAATTGCTTTTTTTATTATGTTATGCTAACTTAGGGTCCGCCTATAATAAAAAAAAATCCTCACTGCACCACTCTGTTAGCGTGAGTCTGCAAATGGCCTGAGAGGTTTCAGAGATCTTGAGTCAGCACAAAGCTCACAGATAGCGGTGTGTGTCATTATACATTTAATAACTGTGCTGTTGCAACTTCATCGTGGGGGTTGTAAGTTGACGGCACATCAACATTTCACCTTAATTCAGAGTTTGTTCCCTCTTCTTTTGTCCCACAGATGAAGAGGACGATGGCAAAGCTCCAACTCGGCCCCTGTTGAAAAAAGGCAGGATTTCCACTTTACTGTGTTGCCCTAATCCTTGTCTTTCTGCTCTCTTCCTATCGCCTCGCTCTGTTTGGACTGTATTAACATGCCGTCCTCTCCCTGCTGTCTGTCTCGTCTCTCCACGTCAATCTTCTCGGCTTTGGGGAATAACGTTTTGCCTTCTCTCCTCTTCCTCCTGCTCTCTTAACAGTCTCCGGCTTGTAGCACTGAAGCTGTGTGTGATAGTGCCTTCCAAGTATTAAATGTTGTGTGTGCCAACATTTCACTTTTCCTCCTCTGGTCTTCAGTGTGTCTCGCCTGCTGCTGCTGCTTCTTCTCTGGTGACGGCTGTGTGACAGGAAGCTCTCCTGTGTCTGTTTCCCCTGTGTTCATTAAGATCAACCATCAGATATCTAGATGTCGTGGCCCATTCTTGTGGGATATTTAAAAACTGTGCCACGTCAACAGGGATCCGCTTCTTGACTCACACGTTAAAAACCATCCAAATAAAGCTCTGTAGGCGCTGATTCCTTTGCCTTCCTCGGCCGATTTATTTACTTCCATATATTTAAACAAACAAAACGATCAGTGTAACATGAGGTCAATGACTGTTCCGATTCCCCGTTCATTGCTGGAGACAATTTCCTCCTCACGCTCAGTCCCACCCCTTCCTTATATCACAGGTGTGGCTCGCAGTAAATCAAGGTTTTTCTCTGAATATTTAAGTCGGTACTAATACATAAATGGAAAGAATATATTAAGATCTAAATTAATAAGAAAATAATACTCATTGTCAACACAGAAAATGGCTCTAACATTCCAGCCCCTAATTGCATAGAATATAGCAATTACAACAAATAATAAATAGAGCCAATATTCAAAACAAATATTCATTTTCTTCTTGTCAGAGTTCATAGATGAGATTTTTCAAGCTTCAGCCAGTAGTAGTCCACTTAATCTCCAGCTTCCAGGAGCAAACAGAGTTTGTTGACAGGCCTCTGTAAAACACTTGTTTTTGTTTTAACTAGAACACTTCGGACAAGCCCTTTACTTCCTGGCAGGGTCTTCAGAATCCGTCCTAGCACCCAGGAGTTTCTGGGAGCCGAATCGTCCACAATAACAACGAGATCTCCAGGAAGAAAGTTCCTTCTGATCTCATTGTCAACACAGAAAATGGCTCTAACACTAGACTTTAAACTCACACAAATGTACAAATTCAAAATGACCATCAACTTCATGGCAGCTAGTGTCTGCTCATCTCATAACATCATGGATATAAACAGGCAAATAAACAAACATTAAATGCGAGGTTTTGCTGCATTTCCTTATATAATACAATAGCTTTGGCTTAAAGAAACAAGCAATGTGAGGGTGTTGTCTTCAGTTGAAACCAGTCCATGACCGGATACTTTATAATACATTATTCATTGCATCACTCAAATGAACTTGGAGACACTGAAGCTATTAGTTTTTTATCGTATAGGCTGGAAGATGCCAGGCTGGAAGATGGGAAATGAATCTACAAACTTACACTATAAAATGCTTCTGAAAACATTTGTGTCTCTTTCCCCTTCTTACTTTGATGCTTTGTTAAACGTAACATGTAACATTAAATACTAACTGCTGGTACAGTGTGGTGCATCTAACTTTAGGAAGTGACTGGAAAATCACTTAGATATATATATTAGATATATATATATATTAGATCTGTAGAGGGGAAACACCGATCGAGCTAGTGCTGAGTTGCCTTTTTCTTTTTTTATTAGATCTTTCGCTAGTATGTTTAAGTGCTTACATTGACACCTTTTATCTTTCCAAACACAAAGCAACACAATGCTACTGATCAGCTAACATCCTGTCCTTTCATGACTGATCCTAACATGGGATACTTTCTTACTGTCCAACCTGACTTCCCCTAACTAGTACTTGTTTTATTTTGCCATCTAAAGTCATCTCTGCTGTGTTGTATGTGTGCAGACAAGAGGAGCCCCACCATGCCGCTGAACGTGTCCGACCAGAGGCTCCTGGCGGCCAGTCAGCAGTTCCAGCAGAAGCAGGGGAAAGGCACCGTGGACGTGTGGTGGCTGTTTGACGATGGAGGTGAGTCTCAGTCATCTAACATACCCATCTGCTCGACTGTAGTCCAAAAGCTGTGAGACGCAAGGCTCTAGTTTCCACTGCTTGAGAATAACGCCCATTTCATGTTTTTTGAGTTTCCAAGGCGGGCAAACAATGCATCACCCCTTTTGTCGGCAAATTAAAACGAATCTGTCAGAAGGCTAAGCATTTTTGTTCAGAGTCAAAACGAACATAGAATAGAATTGGGAGGGATGAAAACCCTCGGTCTCACATGCAGAGCACACAGTGACATGTGTTCTCTGTATTTAACCCATCCTAGTACCAGGAGTCTAGCACTAGGAGCAGTGGGCAGCTATTGCACAGCGCCCGGGGAGCAATGGGAGTGAGGGGGGTGTCCGGTGACTTGCTCAAGGGCACCACGGCAGGGCAGGAGGTGAACTGGGACCTCTCCAAGTAGCAGTCCACACGCCATATGTTAGGTCTGGTCGGGGACTTGAACCGGCGACCCTACAGCTCCCAGTCCAAGCCCCGACTGACTGAGCCATCTGTTGAACCTTATCTGAAAAGTATAACTTTATTTTAGTATCTTGTAAAATGTATCATTTAATTTGTTGGCATTGGATTATTATTTCACTCTCTGTAAATGTGTTTAATTCTTACCTTCGGACTCAAGATGTTCTGGGTTTTTTTTTGTACAATTTGAAATGTATTTAAAATAATGATGATGAAGTAAATTCAACATAGGATTCAAGTTATTTGATCAAAAAATCCTTTTCATTTTTTTACGCTATGCTTTCTGCCTCATTTAACTTTGCTTTGAGCTTAGTGTCCATAGAAATATAATACATTAAAAAATGTGCATTCGAGTAACCAATTAATGTCTACAAATAAATGATTCTCTTCAATTCACATGTTAACATTTTGCATATAAACATGTTACCAAAAGATGCTTGTACCAAGTGGTATACAGCAAATAGATTTTTAGAATTTAGATTGATGACAGGGAAATGAAAACTCCCCCCCGCTGTGAGAAAGATCCATCAGCGATGAGACGATCAGTGGAGCTGACGGAGCCGTATGCTCTTTATTGGGCAGAGTGATTTTGGGTGTGTGTGAGAGCCCAGCGGGGCGTATGCAGTCATGAAGGGTGTTGAACACACTGCGAAATGTGACAGTGTGTTCTATCACACTCTGCTGAGGGATAAACAGGCCGGTGTGTGTGTGATGTCTCCAGGTCTGACCCTGCTCATCCCCTACCTGCTGACCAACAAGAAGAGGTGGAAGGACTGCAAGATCCGCGTCTTCATCGGAGGAAAGATCAACAGGATCGACCACGACCGCCGAGCGTAAGTGATGAGTCACATTTAAGGGTTAACTTAAGCACAATGTGCAGGTGGTAAAGCTGTGACTCACTTTGATCAAGTACCTGCAGATCCTAACCCTTTTTGTTTAGAGCAATTATTACTTTGAAGGAAATAGATATAATATGCCTGCTTTCCCTTCAGCACCTCGCCCCCCCTCCTGCTCACACATTCATACTATATGTTGACATGTTCCCTTTAATATCCCGATGTAATGATGTGCAACTTGTCTAACATGCATTCTGAATACTGACCCTGACTGACAGAGGTCACCGATGGCCCTCGTGTACAGCTGAGAAAAAACATGGTTTCTAATCACGAACATTTTTAATTCTAAAACGTTTTAATATGGGGAACATGTAGTTCCCGGGAAGCACAGAGAGGTGTCAAGTTGATCATGAAACTGGCAGGACAACTTATTTAAAAAGGAAGTGATGGGAAGTGAGAGGCAAACACACAGCTCTATAAACTAAAGGGGTTTGAACACGAGACGAAACAAGAACAGTAAAACAGAAAGCAGCACAATGTTTGTTTTTTAGGGCTGTGCATCTTCACTGGTCTCACGACTCGATTACGATTATCCCGTCTTCGATTCGATATCACGATGCATCGTGCGTTGCATCCTCAATTATCTATATTACTGCACATGGCTTCTTTTTCATCAATGAATACATGCAGTAAATACATATGAACTCTCTTTTTATTATTTAGAAAGTGCTTCAGAAATCAATAACATAAATGTCTTGACATTCATTTATAAACCATAATAAATCGATTGCATAGCTCTAGCCTCCCTATATCTGTGTGTGAAGTTGTTCCATCCTTAAAAACTAATGCTTCTGCAGAATGTCCTGAATGAGGCATCACACACAGGACTTGAGTCTGAACACAGCAGGAGTATTTACAACAGCATATAAAAACTAAAATAGTGCATGTGGGTGCACACTTACATTCTCTGTCTTCCTGTTCCATAAATCCCATGAATGTATGAGACTAAGTTAGCTTCATATCTCAATCAGTGATTAAGTGAATAATAGCGTTTCTATCGGGTCACTATCAGCCTGTCACTCATTATTTTCAGGGGGGGGCGGGGCTTAGAGGAACAGAGGAGACGGTGAGCGGAAGCTTTCCTCCTGCCTTCACAAACTTTACACCCGTATATATCGTCTGAAAATAGCAAGAGGACATTCATACTCTGCAATCCAAGACTTGATTAAATCCACCAAAAACCTGACATGGTTGTAACGCGAGTATTTAAAAAAAACATAAATCCCTGTGTGTCTGAGCCGCAGCGACGCGGAGTGATTCAGAGCGGGTCCTTCTGCTGTTGGTTCTGGACTGGTGTTCTTGTGTTGGTGGATAAAGCAGCTCCGTGTTTGGAGTCGCTGTCACGTCTGTTCCCTGTTCTCTGCGTCACCGACCGATTTGATATTCAAGCGACAGAAAAAAAATCTTTATTGTAAAGCCGCGGCCGGAAAATCAGGAAGCAACGTTACTACGCTATAATCGATTATGTTCTGTCACTGCATCGATGCAGAATCGCCCACGTCCGCATCGTAGAAACAATTAATTTCAACACCCCTATTGTTTTTGTTGATGATCCTGTTTTCAAAAGCCTTGTAAGCATACCATACCATAATCTAAAGTTAAATGTAATTACCACCCGCCCTAACGATGCGTGCACAGGAAGTAAAGGCAACTAAACGTTAACTGAATCTTTAGTCGACAACACGTTTAAAGTCTCTGTTAATTAAGTGGAATATATATATATGAGCTGAGAATATTCTTGCCTTGTAAGTAATGAGATCAATTTGCAATGTTCCAACCCAGACTAGAAAGTGGTGGAAAGCACTTAAGAAAGGCTGTAAATAGACAGAGTAAACAGAGCAGCCAGCTGTGAGGCGCAGCAGCAGCTCAGCATGTGAACTTCCTGTCAGCTTTCGTCCCTCTGGATTCAATCCTCGTCACAAATGTCAGTCTGTGGCCGTAATGGTCATTTCCTTGTTATTGTGGGGAGAAGTTTTCTCATATAATCTAATTACTCAATATTATGGTTTGTCTTTGCTTATATAACGTTATGTGGAGTGGACAAACACTTCAACTCTATTGACTCTACAGTAATTCTATGTTTGCTAATTGTCCATAAAAGCTTTTGAGGTAAAGCTTTCTTTGCTACTGTGACACAGCAATATTTATTCCATGTTTATGTACAGAGTTTAAGTGAGGTTGTGGTTAGCTTAGCTTAGCATACAGACTGGAAGCAGAGGGAAACAGTTAGCTTAGCTAGTAGGGGTGTAACGGTTCACAAACCTTTCGGTTCGGTACGTACCTCGGTTTTTTGGTCACGGTTCGGTTCGGTACGTTTTCGGTACAGCAGAATTTTTTTCACAAAATAAAACATATATATATATTTTTTTTTTATTATTAAACTGTGAATAATGTATTCACTCAAATAAATACAAAATATAATAAAATAAACATTAAGGTGCAGCATTTCGATGAACTGAAATAATCTGTATTTGAACTTTACTGTAGGCTACTAGTACTCACAAAACATAAACTATTAGTTTTGGGTTTTTTATTTTTTATTAAACTGTGAATCTTCACTAAAAAAAATATAAAATAAAATAAACATTAAGGTGCAGCTTTTCGATTCACTGAAATAATCTGTATTTGAACTGAACTGTACTAGTTCCTAAGCAGCCAGCTTGACATTAGGACTTGCTTGTCATTGTATTTTCATGTTTTTTTTAAAGAAAGATGAACTTGTCCACATTGCTTGCCGAAAGGGCAGATCTGCTGGCACTAACAATGTCTCCTGCTGTGGAGAACACCCTCTCGCTAGGGACAGAGGTAGCAGATACAGCCAGGTAGCGCTTTGCTAACATGGCAACATAAGGATATTTGGTGTTTGTAACAGCTTTGGCTCGGTCTGAACTTTCTGCGAGTGGTGGAGGCTTACATGCTAGCGGGAGTTGGGTTTGCACTTCAGTCTTTTTTCTTTTGGTACCGGTGATATTCACGTTCGGGTGATGCCTTTTCAAATGAGTGTGCAAGTTTCATGTATTGCCAGCCGCGTAACCAATTTTAGTTGAACAATGCCGACAAACAGCTTTGGTTCGGTCCACCTGTCTTTGTCCTTCATCCTTGTACGTAACTGCGAAACCAAAATGTTCTCAAACCGGAGACTTCAATGATGCTGGAGGATTTTCGAGCTCAACTTTATCTGCGTTCGCCATTTCGACAGTTCCTCAAATTACTGACTACATTTGAACGCATCCCTCTGACCAGCTCTCATAGTATGCCTCTCATCCAATGAAATGACTTGCTCGCTCTATGACGCGTTGAACCCAATGTGAGTAAATTACTCTGAATGCTGCGACGCAGCACCTGAGATTACTTCCAAAAAGTTGTTCACGTTCTCAATTTTTTACGTTTAACGTTATATTCGTTCGGTACACTTCGGTACACACCTGTACCGAACCGAAGGGCCCGTACCGAATAATTTCGGTACGGGTACGTGTACCGTTACACCCCTATTAGCTAGTTAAAATACTGAAACCCTCAAACGACTGAAGCTCACATGTACATGTACTGTTTGTTTAATATTTTAAGGAACAAATATGTCAGTTTATCCATTCGCCAAGTATTCCAGTATTCCAGGAACATGTACTCTCACTACGAGGACAATACTATCTATTAAAAAGCACAAATACTTATTGCAGATTTCAAAATGTTAGTCAGTGAGCTTTAGTTCCCCCTGCTTCCAGTCTTATGCTAAGCTAGGTTAGCCACATCCTGAACTCATAACACAAGGTGGATATCCAAGAGCTCTTGAAAAAAGAAATAAGCCTATTTCAAAAACATATTCACACTATAGTATTGACAGTAGCATCTATCTATACACAGGGTTCTTACGGTCATTCAAAACCTGGAATAGTCATGGAAATTCAAAATGCTAATTCCAGGCCCTGGAAAAGTTATGGAAAACAATATTTTTCCCAAAGTCATGGAAATGTAACTAAAGTTGCATCAAATATAATTTATATTTTATCTAATCGCCTAAATAGTAATACTATAATGATGATAAATACTGTATCGTATAGTAATGAAACGTAAAATGGCATTTAACTGTCGCGGTATTTTGCTTATTTTCCTGTTCCATGTGAAAATAACCCATTTTCAGTGGTACCGCTGAGAAAGAGTAATGTTTTTGGTCATGGAAAATTAGGTAAAGGTCATGGAGAAGTCATTGAAAATCATTGGTGAAAAAGTGTATGAACCCTGGATACAAACATAAACCTCTTGACAGAGAATCTCTCATTGTCAGCTGCCTCATTCCTCTTCTGTTGGATTCAATCGGTGCTACTGACCGAGCCTTTTATCTCTGTGTGAGAGTGCACTTTATGTGTGTGTGTGTGTGTGTGTGTGTGTGAACTACACTTATAACCACACATCAAACCCATATCTGACAATATACAATGGGCGAGTAGAGTGCAGTGTATATCTCCTTAAAATATTTTGTATCCTGAATTATTTTAATTAATTCGGTTCACCTACATTTCAATAAAACATTTTTTTTACCACACTTACAATAGTTTTTATACAGAATGGAACAAAAATAATCTTTTTATAGGCTAAAAAATCACATGTTTGTCGTCATTACAGAGTGAGTGTTTGCATTAAATCTCTCTGTTGGCTCGGTCAACTCCTCAGAGGAATATTTCTCTTTAGCTCTGAGACTGAAGCAGACTGTTAAAGCAATAGAGAGGCGAAGTCCCGCCCATCTACTTCCGACCCATGGGACCTTATTTCGGAAAAAGTATGTATTGAAGTCAATGGAGAGAGAAAGATTATCTTTCCATCCTGTTTGAATTGTGCCACGAATTACACATATGATGTTTGTCAATTTAAATAATAATTTCCATGTGAAAAAAGTCACAGTTTGTCGTAAAACTGTTGAAATATAAGACTATGAAAAATACGCATCTAGAAAGACTACAAATCCCAGAGTCCCGGTCCCGCATGCTGGCTCTCACGAACCGACTAACTCCCCTTGTGTGTATGCACAGCTCTCAACGTGCCCAGACTTGCAGTGATTTCCACCTCTTTTAATACTTTCCGCCTCGTTCTGAAAGAAAGAAGTGAAATGTTCCAACGTGACGGCCGTCTTGGTGTGTGGAGCGAGACGGGAGATGTAGTTCATTGAGCGGTTTCACACTAACAAAGTGTTACTTCACAGTTTTACGACACATTTAAAACATTTTGACTTTAAAATTATCTTTTAAATTGACAAACATCATGTGTGTAATTCGTGGCACAATTCAAACGGGATCGAAAGATAATCTTTCTCTCTCCGTCGACTTCAATACATACTTTTTCTGAAATAAGATCCCATGGAGGAAAGGGAGGGACTTCGCCTCTCTATGCAATGAGCTTCAACAGCTTCAAAAAGAAGTATCATATTTATCATATGCTTGTTTATAAGTGTATCTTTAATGTTTTGTCTCTAAATGGAGTGTCTGGAAAATGTCAACATGTTGTATTTGTTACATCGTGTAACAACAAACAGTTTGATCTCCCTTAAAGCCCTGAGCTTGCAGACGTTGTAGCAAAAGGAAATGCCTCTCGTACCCAGAATGCCAGTGTTATCTCTCTCTAAAGCTGTCCCCCCTGCCTCCCCCCCCCCCCCCCCCCCCCCCACTAGCTCCATGTTGAAACGCAGCTATTGGCTGCCTGCAGGGTGACTCAGATCTGCAGGATCTCTCCTAAAGCTCTGTGTTTTTTGTTCTCTGCAGGATGGCCACTCTGCTGAGCAAGTTCAGGATAGACTTCTCCGATATCACCGTGCTGGGAGACATCAACACCAAGCCCAAGAAGGAGCAGTAAGTCTTCACCTCAGGCCTTTGAGCTTTGCTACGTTCTCATACCATCGTTCCTCTGTTCGCATTTTAGTCACCATGCAGGCTGACATGTCGTGGTTACTGTCACTTTAGTCACCATGCAGGCTGACATGTCGTGGTTACGGTCACTTTAGTCACCATGCAGGCTGACATGTCGTGGTTACTGTCACTTTAGTCACCATGCAGGCTGACATGTCGTGGTTACTGTCACTTTAGTCACCATGCAGGCTGACATGTCGTGGTTACTGTCACTTTAGTCACCATGCAGGCTGACATGTCGTGGTTACTGTCACTTTAGTCACCATGCAGGCTGACATGTCGTGGTTACTGTCACTTTAGTCACCATGCAGGCTGACATGTCGTGGTTACGGTCACTTTAGTCACCATGCAGGCTGACATGTCGTGGTTACTGTCACTTTAGTCACCATGCAGGCTGACATGTCGTGGTTACGGTCACTTTAGTCACCATGCAGGCTGACATGTCGTGGTTACTGTCACTTTAGTCTCCATGCAGGCTGACATGTCGTGGTTACTGTCACTTTAGTCACCATGCAGGCTGACATGTCGTGGTTACTGTCACTTTAGTCACCATGCAGGCTGACATGTCGTGGTTACTGTCACTTTAGTCACCATGCAGGCTGACATGTCGTGGTTACTGTCACTTTAGTCACCATGCAGGCTGACATGTCGTGGTTACTGTCACTTTAGTCACCATGCAGGCTGACATGTCGTGGTTACTGTCACTTTAGTCACCATGCAGGCTGACACGTCGTGGTTACTGTCACTTTAGTCACCATGCAGGCTGACATGTCGTGGTTACTGTCACTTTAGTCACCATGCAGGCTGACATGTCGTGGTTACTGTCACTTTAGTCACCATGCAGGCTGACATGTCGTGGTTACGGTCACTTTAGTCACCATGCAGGCTGACATGTCGTGGTTACTGTCACTTTAGTCACCATGCAGGCTGACATGTCGTGGTTACGGTCACTTTAGTCACCATGCAGGCTGACATGTCGTGGTTACTGTCACTTTAGTCACCATGCAGGCTGACATGTCGTGGTTACTGTCACTTTAGTCACCATGCAGGCTGACATGTCGTGGTTACGGTCACTTTAGGTCACCATGCAGGCTGACATGTCGTGGTTACGGTCACTTTAGTCACCATGCAGGCTGACATGTCGTGGTTACTGTCACTTTAGTCACCATGCAGGCTGACATGTCGTGGTTACTGTCACTTTAGTCACCATGCAGGCTGACATGTCGTGGTTACGGTCACTTTAGTCACCATGCAGGCTGACATGTCGTGGTTACTGTCACTTAGTCACCATGCAGGCTGACATGTCGTGGTTACGGTCACTTTAGTCACCATGCAGGCTGACATGTCGTGGTTACGGTCACTTTAGTCACCATGCAGGCTGACATGTCGTGGTTACGGTCACTTTAGTCACCATGCAGGCTGACATGTCGTGGTTACGGTCACTTTAGTCACCATGCAGGCTGACATGTCGTGGTTACTGTCACTTTAGTCACCATGCAGGCTGACATGTCGTGGTTACGGTCACTTTAGTCACCATGCAGGCTGACATGTCGTGGTTACGGTCACTTTAGTCACCATGCAGGCTGACATGTCGTGGTTACGGTCACTTTAGTCACCATGCAGGCTGACATGTCGTGGTTACGGTCACTTTAGTCACCATGCAGGCTGACATGTCGTGGTTACTGTCACTTTAGTCACCATGCAGGCTGACATGTCGTGGTTACTGTCACTTTAGTCACCATGCAGGCTGACATGTCGTGGTTACGGTCACTTTAGTCACCATGCAGGCTGACATGTCGTGGTTACGGTCACTTTAGTCACCATGCAGGCTGACATGTCGTGGTTACGGTCACTTTAGTCACCATGCAGGCTGACATGTCGTGGTTACGGTCACTTTAGTCACCATGCAGGCTGACATGTCGTGGTTACGGTCACTTTAGTCACCATGCAGGCTGACATGTCGTGGTTACGGTCACTTTAGTCACCATGCAGGCTGACATGTCGTGGTTACGGTCACTTTAGTCACCATGCAGGCTGACATGTCGTGGTTACGGTCACTTTAGTCACCATGCAGGCTGACATGTCGTGGTTACTGTCACTTTAGTCACCATGCAGGCTGACATGTCGTGGTTACGGTCACTTTAGTCACCATGCAGGCTGACATGTCGTGGTTACGGTCACTTTAGTCACCATGCAGGCTGACATGTCGTGGTTACGGTCACTTTAGTCACCATGCAGGCTGACATGTCGTGGTTACGGTCACTTTAGTCACCATGCAGGCTGACATGTCGTGGTTACTGTCACTTTAGTCACCATGCAGGCTGACATGTCGTGGTTACTGTCACTTTAGTCACCATGCAGGCTGACATGTCGTGGTTACGGTCACTTTAGTCACCATGCAGGCTGACATGTCGTGGTTACGGTCACTTTAGTCACCATGCAGGCTGACATGTCGTGGTTACGGTCACTTTAGTCACCATGCAGGCTGACATGTCGTGGTTACGGTCACTTTAGTCACCATGCAGGCTGACATGTCGTGGTTACGGTCACTTTAGTCACCATGCAGGCTGACACGGCGCTAATGCAATCAGTACAATGACATAATGTTGCTACTCTGCTAAAAACACTTATTCTGCTTTCTCTTACGAAGATGTTCCAGATGCTTCTACTTTGTCTTTTTCATTTATTTTACTTGAAGCAAATGAGATGAAGTATTTGAGGACATTAGGAATGAAGACGTGTCTCTAATAAAGACACGAGCACCACAACATGTCCTGCGTGTCTTTAGACAGATCAATATAAATACCCTAGATAATATAATAATAACAGTAATCTTTATTTGTATAGCACCTTTCATTCAATAAGTGCCGTTCAAAGTGCTTCACATTTGGCCAATTTCACACAGAATACAGTTACCAGTAAAAGACATGCAAACAAACTTTTAAAAAAGCATAGAGTAGACATGTCAAAAATCCCCTAAAGGCCGCATGCTCCTTCATCACGATGTAGAGTTTAGGGTTTGCATATCTGTCGCGTTTAGAAGGTGGAAACCAATACTGTACTGTAACCAATAGGAATCATTTCTAACACTAAAAAGGACCAAGATAGAAAAAACATTTGTATCAAGCAGCTCACTTGATGATAGATGGAGGAGTGTTTGCCCCCCCATGTGTCTGGGTGGAGACATAACATCCGCAGGAGAGGCAGAGGCTTATATAAGACTTCAGATTGCTTCGAACAGACAAGAACAATATTTTATAAATGAGTTGGTGACATATATTAAAACTATTACTATCCTACTTTATTCATCTGGATCCAGAACAGCGTTGCTTTGGTCAGCTGATCATATATAGCCTTTATTAAACCAGGTACAATCTCTTTTCCAAGAGCGACCTGGTGGCAGCATGAACAAAGTCACAACAGATAAAACACAGACGAATACATCATCACAAATTGCTTTCACTGTTGTAGATTTGTCCATAGATTTCAGTTCGGTTCTTCATTTTGCTCCATTAGGGATACATGAGAGTAACACCTACGTCACTTCCGGGCGAAAGTTACGGCCCCGCCCACTTTTGGGGGAAAACAACGCTGTCATTTGAATGGCGGTCAATACACATTCTGAAGTTTTGGCCAATCCGATCAAAATGTGTTTAAAACCGTGGATTTTCTGATCTTCAAAGCGCCGGGTTACGATGGCCAGTCAGGCAAACAATTACATTAAATCATTTGAAATCGACGAGTGGGCTCGATATATGGTTAAATTAAAATCAGTAAGCGAGGCTGTAATTTCGCCAGCTGTTACTCTCATGAGCGAGGCGGAAGATAATAGTTTTATCATGCCAACAAGCTGCTGTCGTTTATTGCACCTCAAACATTAAAACAAATCCAGAGTTCAGTGTTTCTGTACTTCCTCTAAGAAGAAAGGACGGTAACAGAAGAGCTCTGTGGCTTCAGGCTCGATCGCCGTTCAAATGACAGCGTTGTTTCCCCCAAAAGTGGGCGGGGCCGTAAAGTGACGTACTCATCTGTGGACATCGATCGCCAACTGCTATATTTAACCATATATCGAGCCCGCTCGTCGATTTCCAATGATTTCATGTCATCGTTTGCCTGTCTGGCCAAAAATCCACGGTTTTCTTAAATTTCTGATCGGATTGGTAAAAACTTCAGAATTTGAATTGACCGCCGTTCAAATGACAGCGTTGGTTTCCCCCAAAAGTGGGCGGAGCCGTGCTTTTTGCCCGGAAGTGACGCATGTGTTACTCATGTATAGTTTGACTTGCAGCAGAGCACAATAAAAAAAACTGAAAACAGGCTAACGATAGAGTCTTTAAAAATGTTTGTTTTGTAAGGTTGAATAAAAGTGCTACGTTTTAGGATTAGGTGCAAAGTAACATTTACTTTTTGTGCAGATTAAGCATGTTTATTGCACTAGTTAAATGTATTTACGCCTCAGAGAGGAAGCTCTGGGCTCTGATGGAGTATCTTAATGTTCTTGGACGATGCCCGACTCGTCCAGTATAAGGAAGTTAACCGTGAAGCTTCTGTTTTCAGTGTCACGGCGTTTGAGGAGTTAGTCGAGCCGTATCGGCTGAAGGAGGACGACATGGAGCAGGAGGCGGCGGAGAGGCTGAAGGACAGCGAGCCCTGGAGGATCACAGACAACGAGCTGGAGCTTTACCGCGCCAAGGTCCGATCACCCATAATAATAATACACTTTATTGATATAGCACCTTTCATGCTTGACGCAGCCCAACGTGCTTCACAGCACGACAAACATCATTTAACAGTGATGCTACTAACAATGATAAAGAAAGGTCCCTCTGTGTCTTTAATGCTGAAACACTTTGACAGAGTGCCCTGATGTTAAACAGGAAGCAGCAGAAGATGGTTATCTGGTAAGATGTTTAATCCTGCTTGTTTCTCTCTGCAGACCAACCGTCAGGTCAGACTCAACGAGCTGCTGCAGGAGCACTCGAGCACAGCCAACCTCATCGTCAT